CGAAATACGCAATGAATCCTCACAGCATATACTACTCAATCATATTTCAATTGAGTCAGGTCAAAGCAATTTACATTTACTTCGCATTTTGTATATGCTAGTATGCTAGAAATATAAATTTACTGTAATAATAAAAATTATGTTTATAATGAATACAAAATAGTAAATGAGTGTATATTTTTTGTTTTTGTCTTTTTTTTTTGTTAATATACCAATTTATCTGAGTTGCGCAAATAATCGCCGTGGACTCAGAAATTAATTTTCGATCGCTTTTGCAGTTGCACCTGTCACTGGTACTTAATGGTTAGTGAGTTCGTCACGATCTCAGTTACTTCTCTACCTTTCGATTCGTTTTGGAACTTCAGCGACATAGTCTTATTCTACGCGAACTTATGCAATTTAAATGAGTCATTTTGCAAGTGTAATTTGCAAAAGTTTAATAACAATTTTTTTTGTTAAGCTTTTCCTTAAAACCTTTTTTATGTTCCTTGTCTAATATTAGAAGTAGGTATAAAAGGTGTGGTAATAATTTGAAGATTAAGTGGGTTCTTTTGTCCATGGATTTAATAGCATGCATTGCACATATCTACATTAAATATATTTATAAAGAATTATTTTATAAAAAATATTTTTTAGTTTCATTTTTAGTGCAGTTAACTCGCACTTTTTTATAGTAAATATTGTTGATATTGCAGATATTATAAGTTATACATAAAAATAAATATTCAAACATATTTAGATGTTAAAATGATTTATCCATATAGTTAAAAGTTTTTACTAAGACATCTCCAGCTTTATGTAGTCTAGTAAAAATTATTGGAAAAATCTTTCAATTATTTTAAAAAGCTAAATCTTTTCGCTACTTGTAAATTATTAACACATCAATCTGGAATAGCAATCATTATTTTAAAAATTATTTTCCTTTTTTTTGCATTATCGCACAAATTATAAATATAGAAAAAGGACGATAGTAAATTCTTTTCGAACGTCTTGTCGCCTATACTTATGCCTTCTTAGAATATTGTTAGATTTGAGGCTTTTGATGGCAATTAAATTATTGTAACAAAATTTAATGTAAAATTTAATTTCATTATATATAAAAGTATTTATAGTTTATTTAACGATTTTGTTTATTCGCTTTGAAAGTAGAAAACTCAATTGCAGGGGACCAACTGAACTATGATATGTATTAAATTTTTAATGTCTACAATTTCCGCTATATCCACTGTGTTTTAAAATTTTCTGAGTAATCGTAGAATCAAAAAACGAGGTTAGAGTAAGTTTTTCTGAAAGTAGAAACTGAAATTGGTGCTTTAATGGCTTGACCAGTCGTAACTACGTGCTTTTTTATTATAAACACTTGCTCAGCACTCAGCATTCAGTGGCATTAGTCATTACTCTTAAAGCTGCTCAGTTATGGTGACGCGTTTAATAAGCTCAAGTTTGGACGTGGCTACTTCAAGTCGTACAGTTGTAAGTGTCCAAACGGACGCATAACGTCTTGTTAACGAACTTCTTTTGTACCGTACCGTAGCCAAGTTGTTTTGTTAGCTAACGCGGCTGTTATGTCAGTGACTGTTGCTTTTTATGATTTTCCATCGTTTATTTTTATTGTTAATTGTGCAGAGTATAGATAAATTTAATTGAAGAAGAGAAGAATGTGCTTCATGCCATGTTAGATGCGAATATGAGCAATAATTGCAGTTGGAATTGATGGAATGTACGAGTATCTCAAGTAGAAAAACTAAATTTATTGGCTTATGTTGTTCGGTTTTATGCTTTATGGCAGAACGACTGGTAATTGTTGCTTGTCATTGAATTTTCTATTCAACAAAATGGTGTTTGTTAGTGTGAGACTGACTTCAGAAATGAATGTGGTCTTTAAGCGCATCACAGAGCTTAACTTATTAGCCAAAGTAAGTTTAATTTGTGTCAATTTCTAAATTAAACTCATCTTCTACAGCTACTCATGTAAATGCATAGTCTGTATTACTAAAAACTTCAGCTGCAGTTTGAACTATTCTAAAGTCAAACTACAGTTGCAGTTGAACTATTGTTTAACTTTAACGTTTTCAAAATTGTTTGAAATTATTTTATTTCTTATTCGTTCATACACTGAACAACAAAATGTGCTATGTACTTTCAGATATATGTACATCTATATCAGATATATTTTATGCAACTCATGTACGTGCGAAAAGTTTTGACTTAAATAAAGCAACACATTTAAAAAGTTATAAAAAAGTACTAATGAAATTTATAGCCAGAAACACAAATAAAAATGAAAGTTCACACTTTAGGAAACTCAAAAATAGATACAAAAGAATAGATAAATAGCATTTGCAGATACATGTATCTGCAGCCAAAGTTGAGTATCTGAAATTCCATTCTCTACGCGTTTTGTTTATAAATCAAAGTAAGAGCAGTAAATGGAAGCATTTTAATCGATATTTGGCACTAAAAAACCAGCACAAGGCTAACCAAAAGCAAATATTTTTTTTACTACAAAGTAAACACTGCAAACGACAAAATATTGACTAACATAAGAACGTTTAGTATATATACTTCTATGTACGAAATAGTCATATCTTTAGAAAAAAATTTGCTATTCGCAACACAACTGAAGATCAATTCTAACGGCTTCTAATATCTGTTTTCGTTCATCGAGAGCACAGTAATCGTTTACTGCAGACATCACTAACTTCTAACGATACTTTACTCTCCACCATTTCATTTTATTAATGAGATTGAGATTTTAATTAAAAAGAAACAAAAATTTTAATTATTATTCTATGTGGAACTAACAGTAAAAATTAAAGATGATCAAATATTTTTGGATTTATTTTGCATATGTGCTGTGCGTACATATTTTAACCGAGAACCAACCATACCCAAATATTTGCATAATGTTTGTTTTTATTTAAAATTCTTAAGATATTTTCATACAAACAACAACTGCCGCATTTAAGATGTAATACATTTGCTTCAGTTTTAAATTTATTTGATAGCTTCGCTAGTAGAATTCAAACTTTCTATATCTTTCGCATTAACAAAACATCAAATATATCAATTTAATATATTTTATACTCTAAAACTACAAGTAACACTTCAAGAAAAACAATTGTTAAATAAATTCAGACTACAGCAAAGCTCTACTTTCCTATCAATTGTCCATTTTAATCATTTTGTAATATCCACTTAAGTTTAAGTATCTTTGTATTTATGTATTAATGCACATCTTGGAACTGGTTCCGCACTCGCCCCAATTGTGCACATAAATCACTTTAAGCCTCAAACAGTGACCGCATCAGTGAAATTGCCTAAAAACTGCCAGCAAATCCACATTTCAAAAGCATCAAAAATTGCCACCAGCAACAACAACACCGTGGTCACACCGTAACCTCCGCTAGAGGAAGATTATTGGCAAAGCACCACATAGATTTACTCTTAAAATTGCTATAAAAAAAAACGAAGTACTCCAAAGTCACACAAAATAGGCGACAAATATACAAATATATTTGCACACACACATACCCACACATAAGGCACTCAATTAAATTGATCTAAAAGGATTTATAGCCAAAAAAGTCCCCGAATGGGAGCTGCAATATAGAAGTTTGATTTTTCGGAAAATGATAAGTGTTTGTTAACGAGGGTTTTTATTGTATGCTTTTAATTTTTATTGTGGATTCAACTAATTGTTTTTATTAAACGCAGTTTATAAGTGATGAATATGATATGCGTATTAATCCTTAAATAATTCTTGATCTAGAATACTTCAAAACGTCCAACATATACTTTATGTAGGATAGGGTAACACGTAAAACTTAACTTAACCTCAATAATAAGCTTTCCACTTGTAAACAAATAGTAAGGGCTGTCAAAAAAGTCGTGAAAGCACCTGAGTACATCAGGTAGACAAACTTACATACAGATCTATACATCAAGAGCTGACCCATAAATATACCGAATCGCTTATGAATAGTTCCAAACTTAACCTCCAAAAAAAAAAAGATTTCTACTTGTAGACAAATAGTAAGGCCACTCAAAAGGATCGTGCAAACACCTTAGTACATCAGGTCGACAAACTCACATACAGATCTATACATGGAGACTTACAACTATAAATATACTGAGCATGACATTAAAATTTTGCAAAATAATTTTAAAATGCAATTTTCGCAATAGATCCCATGCACTTAATAATTCCGTGTGAGACCAGCTGAAGATGGGGCTAGGTATATGTCCCAGACCAATGCGGCTTTTGACGTAATCAAAAACAGTTATCCTGTTGTTGGATTACAACAAATACAACCGCTTACATCCAAGCTCAACGATAGCATAAAAAGGCGCCAAATCCTAGTTAAAAAATAGTTTTAACTAAGTTTTGTTTTACTTCCAATCGTACCAAAACTATATATATACCGTTATCTATAGGTTGAAAGATAATTCAGATCATATTGAGCAGTGTACAATCACTAGCTGCGGCTCTGCGTGCAGGTGCACACATTTTTCACCACTCAATTCGTAGAATACCAGATTGAGTGTTTTCCATATAGGTTCAGATATCAGATAGGGAGCGTCGTAGTAATCTTGCCGATTGCCGAGTGGTTATACCTACGACCTTCTTGTTTTCGAATACTTTACATAATCGACTTTAGACATTTGGAGGAACTATTTCATTTATAATTCATTAAAATTTGAATTTCTTTCAATCCTCAAGAATTGTTTTTACTGCTATTTTATATATAAAATATAAAAGCACGATTCCACAGTCATAATTAAGTCTTAAAATTGACTTAAGTATAAGTTAAGCCAAAAAAGGTTAATGACTTAAGGAAAACTTAAGTCAGTATTAAGACTTAAGACTAAAATCGGTCCTAAGTAGGCTAAACTATTAACTATTAAGTTATAATAGTATAACTTAGAGTATGTAGTCATATATGAAATCACTATCTTCTATATTAACCAACACCGGAAAGAATCACAACTGAACTCACCTTTTGATTTTAAGTTCAAATTGTTGCTATCGATGTCAACAGCTGTGGCAGCCGCACCAGCTCCAGAGAAGTGCCAATATTGCGCGCATATGTTGAACAAACACAACAAAGTCAGCCACTGCAAAAGAGGAGCCACGGCGAAACTCCAGCGGAGCTGTGACATTTTTTTGTTGGTTTTTTCGTATGTCTGCCTTCAAACTCTAGTGGCACTACAGCGAGGTGTGAGCTAAAGGGGAGCCAGGATGTGAGTAGTTGTTGTTTCACTTTGAATTGGATTCGTTGGTTGAGTAACACTATCACACTCACAAGTAGAAGAGGAAGCATAAGCAGAAGCAGAAGAACTTGACTTATAACAAAAACAATTTGCGCCACAATAGTATGGATGCGGACTAAGAAGCTGCTGCTGCTGCACGCAAATGTGGTGACATCACTTCCTGCGTGCTTCTTGCTTTTCTGCCTTTGTGAAAAGTTTTAAGCTGCGTTTTGTTGTTTGTTTATTATTATTAAAAAAATGCGAACATTATATAAATTAAATGCAGGAAATTGCGGGTTAAAGGGTTAAGCAATTTTTTTTCAGTATTTAACTGCTTTTATTAATTTTGTGAATTTATAAAATTTCAAAAGTTCTACATAAATATTTTTATTCAATTAAACAGGTTTTCATTAATTCAAAAAAAATTTATGAAACAAACGAAAACAATATTTGTGAACGAGCGCCGGGTATGAGGGGTGCAGCCGATGTTTTTGATACGTTTTTGTTGTTGTTGACAGTGTTAAAATTTTGTTTTTTCTTTTTATATTTTAGCGTAGAAATTTAAATGATAACAAACACATGAAATTAAAATTTATTTGCTTCACACTTTTTTGTAAGTTTAAGTGAATTTTGAAAATTAAATGCTGTTAGAAAATTAAGAAACATAACACACAACATAAAATCTTATTGGAAATCTTTTGTTTGGAGCTTTTTGTTTTACGATATTCTTAGCTTTTTCTTTGTCTACCACGGGAACGCACAAACGCAATTAAACGGAAAGGGAAAGAGGTGAAGTTTGCGCAAGACGATTTTTTTATTTATGTTTAACTTTTTTAATAGTGTTACTTTTAAAACCTAACTATAACAAATCATACGCAATTACTCACGACTTTAAACAGAACAACAATTAACTTTAAAATTCGTGCTCCTTATTAAAATCAAAATAAAATAAAATTGATTCACAAATAACAAAATCGCGAACCACCGACGACTCCGCACATTCTCTTAAGGGAACCAAAGCAGAAATGCTACTAAAAACAGTCACAACATTTTCTCTGCGAAGAGCGTGAGTGTAGTTGAACGTAGTAAACGTAAAATTAAAAATAAAAGACAGCTGATAGCGTGAAGTTAGTTGCGTTTAGAGAACTTTCAGTGAACTGTGTTATCCACTTAGACTATTTCTTCAATATAATTGGATTGTTAAGGTTATTGCCTTTATATTCTCCCAAATGAATAATATAATTTTCAAATATTTTGTAACTGCTGTAATTTTTTATATTATTTATGTCACATATTATGTTATGTTATGTTAAGCTGTGTTCTATAGAATTATAAATAAGTATTATATAGAATTATAAATAAGTGTTATGTAGAATTAGCAAAGTAGTTCAGTGTGGGTAAGGCAGTGCTTGTTTTTTCGTGATTCAATGAAAATTAAATCAAACAACAAAAATTATTTATAATGTAAATAAGACACAGGGAATGTGTTTTGCTTTCCTACATTGAAGTGCATAAATATTGATGCTCATGTTTTAATTTTTTTAAGATTAAATGTAATTCATTAAAACTTTGCTACAAAATAAAATGATGCCAGATAATATTATTAATTGATATGTACTGCTATTAACTGCCTCTGAATAAGATTTCGACCAAAATATTACTTCAATGTATTGTTTAAAAATCATTTATAATTTCTCCAGAGGATATCTTACAGTATTGGAACTTCTCGAAATAACTTTCAATGACTTGTCGATAATTGGCAATAGTTCTCTAATACCTTGTTGGAAGTTTATTTTTAAAGCGTTAATAGTTTGAGGATTGTTCGCACAAACATCATCTATTATGTAGTCCCACCAAAAAACTCCAATGAGAATTACAAATAAGGCAGCAAATTTTATAATAATCTTAATATATATACATAATTAACATTTTACCCTATATACAATGGAAAAATATCACAGGTTCTTTTAACCAATTATCCATTGATTTTGCAATAATCTTAAACAGAAAATACAAGTTTCTTTCAAAGCACAAGGCGAAAGGATATCAGTTCTTAAAAGCATTAAGAACAATTCAATTTTCTTAGCAGATTTCACTTATAAAATCTAAATTATCTAAAATCTAAATTATTTACTCTGTTTCTAAGTGAAAAATCTATTGATTCCGCAAAAATAAAAATATCCGAGGACTGCTGGCATTAAATCATGTGATAAAAGCGGCTTTGAGGATTTCTTGTCAATTTAAGTCCGCAAACTGTATTAAAATCATTAGATATCATTAGATATTTCAGTTCAGTAAATTTATTTTTCAGTCTCACGTATCCGAGTGATATACGAATACTATTCAAATTGACGAAAACCTGATTCGGCAGGAAGAATCAGGTTTTCAATCAACGGCAGGAAGAAGTCTAGAAATTTGTCACACATTTCGACTACACACATATTATTCCTTAACTTTAAAAACGCATTCAGAACTTTTTTTTAAGAAATTTTTTTTATTAATTCCTTACTTAATAGCTAGAATACTTTAAAAGTAAAATTGAAAAAGTCTTAAAGAAATGTAATTCTCAGGAACAGACGAAACGCACTAATAATGTGGCGTAAAATATCTTACAAATTTTACAAATGATTTACTCGACTGTACTAACCACGTTTACCATTAAGGCGATCCTGAATTTCTTGAAGACTAAGTCCTTTCGTCTCCATCACAATGAAAAGAGTGAAGAAGAAAGCAATCACGCAGAATATGGCGAATAGCCAGAATGCGTAATAGGAGCCCAAAGCGTCAAGTGCAGGATACCATCGCGTTACCACGAAACCCAAAATCCAACAGGTCGATGCAACCATAGAAGAAGCGATCGATTTTACATTCGGTGAAAACATTTCTCCCAATACAGCCCAAGGCAATGGACCAAAGCCAATACAGTATACAATGTTGTACACAATAAGTGCAGGAACTGGCAACCATGTAACGCTATCCACATTTTCTGGTTGCATTAATTTGATATAGAAGAAAGCACCCAATGCTGTCAGACCAATACTCATAACTGATGCTGAAATGAGTAGTATAACTTTACGTCCCAAGCGATCGGCAATTAAGGGTGTTAAGCCGGAAGAGGAGACTTGCACAATGCCAATAATAATAGTAGCAATTGCGGGATCCAAACCAGTGTTGGCACTTTCAAAGATTGATTGACTGTTGAAAAGAACGACGTTAATGCCTGACAACTGTTGGAATGCTATGAGACCGGCTGAAATTATAAGCGCCTTCCTATTAGCAGGAACTTTCACAATATCTGCAATTGAACCCTTATTAGCCATTGCTTCCTCAACTTCTGCTTGTATACTGGCCAATTCATCTTGTACGCCTTCTGCGCTCTGGCCACGTAAATATTGCAATGACTTTAAGGCGTCCTCTTTCCGCCCTTTACCGGCAAAATAATAAGGGCTTTCAGGCATAAAGAAAAATACCGCATCAAAGACTATGGGCACCACTATACAACACCATTGCAACGCTTGATAAGAAACAAATGGACCGATTGCATAGACATACAAAATTCCAGCTGTGGCGTGTAGAAAATGTTTAATAAAAATGTTTAAAAATAGCTTAAAATGAAACACTTACACACGATGAATAACTGCATAAGGGAACCTATGATTAAAATATCGAAAAATTATTAGGTAGAATAAATTATTATTGATTCTGCTATTAACCTGTGGCACCGCGAACTTTATCAGTTGCAATTTCCCCTACGTACATGGGTTGTACTGTCATGACAAATCCTACACCGAATCCTTGTATCAATCGTCCTAAAAGTAAAACCCAAACTTCACTGGCGACCATCATCAAAATGTAGGCAATCACGAAGAACAAAGAACTGGAAAGTAGCACCCATTTTCTACCAATCTTATCAGCTAAAGGTCCCGCAACAAAAGGAGCTGGACATCAGAAAAGTTATTAAAAGTTTGTACTTCGGACTTTTTTCCACTTACCCACTAAAGCGCCAATCGCTACGATCGAAGATATCCAAGCATCATCTTCTAGCCCAATTTTATGATCTAAAGGGGAATCAGATGTGTCATCCGTTTTCAGCTTTGGTGCGATTGGCGACGTCCAGCCCAAACACGTGCCTACAGCAAAGGCTGATAAATTCGCTGAAAATAATCAATAAACTTACGTCACAAATTATTTTTAAGGTTTATTCAATTTCGAAATACTTGAACTGCACTGGAAGTGAGGAGTGCCACTCCAAATTCAAGCATTGCAATTATGAAACATTATTCTCAAGTTGTGAATATCTCAGTTTAATAAATATGTTACATGAAATTAACTTAAAACTGAATTATCAATTTCTAAAATTTACCTGCAATTGCAGCCATAAAAATTCGAATCGTCTTCACGGGTTCCATTTTAGGATTGTGCGTAAATCCGTCGCTTATCTGAAAAGGACTTACTTCCGTATATCTCACTGGCGTTTCGTCCGAGCTCATTTAACGCATAGAAGCAAAATGGTAAAAACTCAAAATTATATACTAAAAGTTTAAAAAGGATATCAAGTTGATTAGCACGAAATGAATTCTCATGTAGTATGATTAATTGCAATTTTTGTAATTCAATATATGGAAACGGGGAGGATGTGTAACAGATGAAGGTTTAAGGAAATAAGGGAGGATAATTTGTAGTAGCTAATTGCATTTTCAAACATATTAAGTTGAAGTAGTTTCGTTCAGTTCTTTTACTGAAGGGAATACTATTGCCTAAATTTGTATACCATAGTGTATAGAAACGATTTATAGTCCTTGTGATGGAGGTTTTGCGTCTTTTTAAAATTTCATCTCTCATAGGAAAATAACAAATTAAAATTATTTTATTTTTTGACTTTAGTTTTTGAAGTATAAAGTAGGCACATCGTTGAAAGGGGCAGATTTTTTATATCCAACACTGGAATGAATTCCAGGTGGTGCCTAAGATTAAAGATGGATCGAAGCATTTTCTTAGAAGAAGAATTTGTATTTTTAACAACTTAAAGGTAGGAATTATAAATATCATAAAAAGATTATTTTCTTCGCTAATACTTTTAAATTGAGTCGATCGTGCGATTTACAATATATGATAGTATGGATGCTTCACTACCTCACCACCACATTTTTAATTATTAAGACGAAGATAATAGTATTTCCATATGAATTAAACATGTTTCTTTTTGTGGAAGCACAAGTGACTTAAAAATCGGCTTTTCATTTTATATAGCAAATCCCATTGAAGTTTAATCGAATAAGGATTAATAAGTTATCTTAGTTTTATTAGGAAAAAAATAAACAGGAAACAAATTTTTACGCGTAGTCACTTAATTATTGTCACTTTTAATTTAATATATTTAAACGATCGTTCCGCAAGACTCTGGTTTAAATTATAAAAATAAAATACTAAACTGTATTTTCATATATAAAATTCGATAATAAAATAGTCTGCGTATTTATACTCATATTTTCATTTTTTTATCTTATATTTTTCATGTTCCATTTGAATCTTTCCACTGCTGGCAAGCAACTGAGCTTGATATCAAATTTTCGTTGGTTTAACAAATTTCTTAGTAAAAAAATAATTAATTTTAATAATAATAATTAACCAATATTTTTAAAGTAATTTAGTAATATTCATGAAAATTTTTTATTATATTACACATCACAAATTAACGTAATTGAACTATTTAGGTGATTTTTTTTAACTTAATTTATTATTAATTATTTTACAAATGCTAAGCAAAACATATTAATTATTACGTTTTAAATATAAAACATCAGCAATTTTTTCACACCTTCAATATTCCTCTAAATCTAATATCCTTTTGCACTTCCTGTGTTAGAACTCTACACTTCCGCTCTGTTCACAGCGTCTAATGGTTCAACTGGTGCTACCTTTTAATTATCGCAGTAGCAAATTAAATGACCAGAATTTCAGACATCGCATTAATTTAAAGATATTTTTCGACTGGACTGTGAATTTATGCAACATCTGTAAACGAGCTTGTTATTCTATGTGTCTTATCAGTTCCATGCTACACTGTAAAGAGGAGGACAAGCGCGCGATAACAATTTAAACAATTCAAATGTAAAAACATGATTTGTTTTTGTACTCTTATGAGGAATTACAAATATTTTTAGATGAAATTCATTTGCACAACGCAAAAGTTAAAATTGATATATTGTGATTAACCATACGTCTCTGAAAAAAATATATTAATCTTATTCTCATATTTTAGAGTAGGAAACGCATTAGAAAACTGTCAGCTTCTCTTTTGGGATTGCCGACTCACGGCAACATTTAGTAATTCTTTCTTTAAAGCTATTGACTATAACAAATTCACAACAAATCGGAAGCAGAAGTTTTCTTTTAAACCTGTAATAACAAAACAGAAGTAACGGACAGAAGAGTTTTCATTTGAAACAAAAGAGAGACCCTTGAAGACGTTGGAATAAAACTAACGATCTGGTCTTATATATAAGACCAGTGTAGCCTAATTAAAAATTGAAATAATTAAAAACAGACGGACTTTAAAAGATATATAAGCGCAAAGCAACATTTGCAGAACTTTTACAAGGCTGCTAGAGAACACTTATCATTTTTACTGCTTAATAAAAAGCAGGAACTTTTTTTTGCTGATTATAGTCTATATATATATATATATAGACTGATATAAGTAGTCTATTCTCCCTTTATATCTAAATATAGTCAACATTTAGCCAAATCATAATTTTAGATCTTGTTAACATGGCAAAGAAAACCTGAGAGAACCTGTTAACTGCCACAGTCAAATAACATGTCTTACTTGAACAATCGATATAATAGATTTTTTTTATGACTCTAATGAAAGTCAGATTAAATGTTCGTAGTACACTATTTAATTACAGGGCTTATTATCTTTATTCATTTAGTTAAGCATGATTAATATCGATTCCTTTAGTTTATATAATGCATAACTGCTGCTATACGAGGATATATGTAGTATATGTTATATACTTTTTTTGAAAATTTATCTTTTTTTTTTTTTTGTATTTATCTTTTTATGCGCTATTGTCTTCATATACATTATATATAATATATTAATAAGGTTTTAATTATTTCTTTATGCGCTTTCCTACGTATTCACATCAGGACCAAATATATCTGAAAAAACCGTGTTAGTCTGAAATACAATAACAAATTTTTATGGTCACTTAAGTGTATAAAGATGCACATATAAACAGAACAGTGGTGTAAAAGGCTCACAATTACTAATTGACTGGTATCAACTGAGTATTATAAGAAGTATTATATGATTCGTTTAAGGAAGGGTTGAAAGCAGTGAGTACTGATTAAGCATATTCACTAGGCATGATTGCCATATTTTCAACTAATAAAGAAAATAAATGCAATGCGGAATAGTCTGGTTTCCTTAACGTTAGTCATTACTTTTTGTTTGATGGTTAAATTTTTTGGTTAAATTGTTGAAAACGAACAAATATTATTTGAGGACTCGTTGGATGACTTTGTCATCCTAGTGCCACATATAATTGGCCGCATGTTCTTTTCTTCTCGGTTGAACTCCTATAAAGCTGTTAAGATCGCGGTATATTTCTTGCAGTGTAATATTTAAAACTAAATATTTTTATAGGATTGCACTTGAATAGCGAAATTGTATTGAAATAAATAAGCGTATTGTTGTGTACTTATTTGATAAGAAGAAGAAACTATCAACCAAATTACGTCCATTGAGTATGTAATGATGAGACCTCGTGTTAATAGGCCAATGAATGTCGGGGATGTGATGGGAAATGGTTAAAATTACAACTAATCAAACTCTTAAGATAACAATTCAAAATGCAATTTTAATTTTAATAAATTTTTTTTAAATATTTTCATCAAACTTTTTCTACATTGCATATTTTAGTTGTAGGAAAATTTTCGTCGCTATTGGCGCCACAGGTAAATAGTAAATATGATTCTGAAGTAAATACTGAGTGCTTATATATATACATATATATATATATTATATATTTGAAGACGTCCATTGTTATTCACTCAGTGCATGTATATTAATATGTGCTCAAGTAGTTACTATAGTCACAGATTTTTATCTCAATGTCAATATCAACATATCAATACGCATATTTTAAAAACACTCAAGTGGTCCCTTTGTGGCCCAACTGAAGTGGATGGATACTTAATAGACTCATTTGATTGGTATTTCCTCAAGATCTCGATTTTATAGCATGAATCATAAATATGTCAAATCGCTTTAATGCAAATAGCTATCAAACGTCAGTTTATACGTGAAGAGTTATTTATGTCTTAAGACATAAATTAAAATATACTCAACTTCCAATTATTCTTTAGAGACTCCATTGATTCTATTTGCCGATTTTCCACTTTTAACTTTCAATTATGGCTCAATTGGCTTTAAATAAATTATATTGTACTTTAATATTTATTTATGTTTGCATTACTACAATTATTAGAATTTATCGGTACTTAGATAAGATAGACGAGTAAATTAGGGTAGGATATTAGGGTAGGATGTTATAGGTTGCATACAAGAATCGCAATTATAAAATATAAAATATATTTGCAATTAATAAAAGTTAAAGCGAAGAAAATAATTCAGTTATCCACAAGATATACTTGATCGTATTTATACTTCATTAGAATGATTGCTATCATCGAGCATCGTCAATTGTCAGACTGTATCAGTATTCAGATTGGAGCGGATGTTATTATTCTCTAGGTCATGGGTCAATAGTAAAGACAATGCAAATAGTTCATTGTCAACATAAAATATGCCAGAAAGTTTTCAAATTTAATAATGAGAACTCAGATTAATTATTGATTTCTGAACTACACGTGATACTTCACCACCTCGCAAAGAAGGGTTTGAATGATAGTGGCAGCTTTGTGAAATATAGAGTAAAATACCCTATTTATGTTTTGCGATTGCCAGAAAATGAGACTAGTGCCTTCATTTGACTGATATTGAACAAAAGAAGTTTAAAAATTTAATTTACAGGAACTGTTAGATAAGTCAGCTATAAATGAAAGAAATATTCCTATTTCTTTTAATTTTTTGCAAAATATAGGAGTACTTAAAATATTTATTATGTTTGGAAATTAAATTTGAATTCGATTGAAATTTCTTCACAGCAAACCATTTTTAATTTAGAAATCTACGAATCCCGTGGATGTTGTAGTACTTGTGACGTAATTTCAATGGAAGTGGTGTAAAAGAGTCACATAACATTGTCCTGGTTCTGGTATGTCTGTTTCACGATAGTCGATTGACTACTTCTATCTTTGTATTTTTTGGAACATGTTCATCCAAAGGAGTTCACTGATTTAACTGCTCTTTTGTTTCAGAATATTAATATGAATGCATCTTTAATTTTTAATTATTCATCGTCACAAAAACTCTTTAAGATTTCGTTGAAATATTTGCACATTGGCTTCAAAATAGACTTCATAATTTAATCCACAATATCCGGAGTTATTGCTTAATTTGGTCATCCTTGCAGCTTAGCATCTTTGGTTATTATATGAATACAACAAACCTAAACATAACTTAAATCATTCCATATGATGGTATAGAGATTATATATTACTTATCAAGCTTGCTGTTTGTTTCAGAGATAATCTCTTCTTATTATTCTTAACCAAACCTCACCAAAACTTTTAAGTGTTAAACAGTTTTCAAAATAAAAGAAATTCTTCTTAATAGAAAAAAAAAAGCAATTGTCAGTGTGATTAGTATTACCTAATCTTTGTCTTATACTATTTTCCACAAGAAAACTTTCTAGAATAATCCGGTGCCTGGTCGAGTTACCAGACTACTAGACTACTACTTTAATTTCTTCGTTTTCAAAAACCAACAAAAAACAATATATACATCAGAGTTTGTATAATAACAATATTAATATATTTATTAAGTAATAATTTATAAAGTAATCTATACATTAGAAATTATTATATCCTAAATTAGAGTTTATTTCGCTAAGTTTTATTCGCTGTGGTTCTATGTGACTGGTTTCATTTTTTTCACTTACTTTTCTTTCTGTCTTCTATTACCTCTCTCCCTTTTTTCGACTTTTTCCTTTTATAATTTAAATTCCATTTTTTATTTTAACTGTTCAGTCGATTTTGTATTTCTTGCAAACTGAGTCCTTTTGTTTCAATAACCATAAACATTGTGAATACAAAACCAAGCGTAGAAGTCCCTGCGAAAAGCCAAAACGCATAATGAACACCATAGAGAGCAATCACTGAATAGCACTGAATCACAGCAAAACTAAGTATCCAACAGGTAGAAGTTACAATAGATGCTGCCATGGATTTAATATTTGCTGGAAACATTTCACCTAACAAAGTCCATGGTAAAGAACCAAAACCCAAACAAAAAACAACAATGTAAAGAACCAGGCTTGGTACCGGCAACCAAGCCACGTACTCTGAATCTCCTTGTTGCTGAATATAAAAAAATGTACCCAAAGCTCCCAGACCAATTGTCATTCCAATTGAGGAAAAAATTAAAAGAGACTTCCGTCCAAACCGAACAACAGCAAGTGGTGCTAATATGGAAGCGGTAACTTGTACTATTCCTACAATAATAGATGCTATAGGCGGGTCGAAACCGGTATTTGCACTTTGAAATATCGTTTGACTATTGAAAAGCACAACATTTATACCAGACAATTGCTGGAAAGCTATCAGGCAAGAACAAATTAGTAACGCCTTGCGATTGCCTGCGTTGCCTAAGACATCCATAATAGTGCATTTGCTGGCCAAAGATTTCTGGACTTCACATTCCAGCATATCTGCTTCATTTTCTACAATTTTGTCGCTTTGTCCGCGCAGATATTTTAATGATTTTATCGCCTGTGTTTTGCGTGCCTTACCAACGTAGTAGTGCGGACTTTCTGGCATGAAGTAGAAGATTACATTGAAGAACAAAGGCACAACCAAGCAACACCACTGCAAGATCTCATAAGAAACATAAGGACCAATTGCATAAACAAATAGTATTCCCACTGAAAAAAAATATATTTAAAATTAATTATTACTTATATAGAAAGGGTTTAGACTTAGATTTACTGTTTATGAACAACTGCATCAGTGAACCGGTAACACCTCGAACATTGTCTGTAGATATCTCAGCTACATAGATGGGAAGAGCTGTCATCACATAGCCAACACCAAATCCTTGTATTAATCGTGCCAATTGTAATATCCATACTTGAGTGGCGAGTAACATCAGCGTGTAGGCAAGCACGAAGAAAAAGGAACTCGACATTAACACCCATTTGCGACCAATTTTATTTGTAAATGGACCAGCGATGAAAGGAGCTATAAAAAATTTTGTACAGAGCAATCAGCAAATGTATTGTCAGAGTTTACATTATCATACCAATTAAGGCACCCAAGGTTATAATCGAAGATATCCAAGCAAAATCAGATTCACTGACTTGCTCTTCCAGTGGCAATTCATCAGTGTTGTTGGATAGTAATTTTGACGCCATTGGAGATGTCCAACCAAGGCAAGTGCCTACAGCAAATGCAGCCAAATTCGCTAAAATAAACTACGATAAATGCATGTTTTTTTTTGTTAGATTTATATAATTTTCGTTGTGGTAATGAAACGCAATTCAAAAACACTTCGAATGCCATAAGCAAACAACTCTATCTACACTGTTAGATAGATTATTGACTTAAATTTTATATCAATCGCAAGTACAATGCACTTCAAAGCATTTTATCTGCGCTATTGACCATCAATTGAGAGCATTCTATTGTTTCTTATTTATTTAGTTGAACATTTTATTTGTGAAATTTTTATAGTTTATCCGGATGTCTTTAGAAACATACCTGCACACGCCGCAATGAAAATTCGCATAGTGTTCACTCCTTCCATGATATCTATTTTATGCGGTCCCGATGAGATCTTTTTGAAGAATATCTTTAATTTTGTTAAATTATTTTACGTTTTTAATATTATATTATTGATGCCTTTAATTATTTGTCTTTGGTGGCCTTATGAAATAAATTTCATTTGTTTTTTTCCCTTAGTTTGTTAGTTGTTTCGGCTAAGAGGTTATCAAATGTCGTGAAATGATCAATAGAAAAGTTTGAAATAATAATGTCCGTTTTATATAATTTTATAACACCTATAAGTTAATTATAACTATAATAAAATCATATTCAATATACAAAAGTACTTCAATAGAGTTGACTAATATATGGTATATTAGGGTGCCATTAAGGTATATGGGCAATTTTTTTTTCGTAAAATCGGTTGACGGCACCCCCCAGATCGGTTCATTTTACTAAAAAAATAATCTGTGAAAAATTTTAGTTCAATTGGACAAGTGGAAATGGTGCCCCAAGAGCCTCAAAGATTGGAAAATAATGATTTTTTCCATAAAATTCATCTTTGATTGCTTATATCTCCGACATATTTAAATTTACATAAAAACTGTCTTCCTAAAAGTTATAGATCTATTTAAAATAAACAATTCACTCATATAAAATTTTTATGTATTTCCAATAGTTATTGAATAAAAGCAAATACAAGCTGAAATCCCTCTATTAAATTTAGGTAAGTTCAATGAATGAATTGTCTACTAAATTTGCTAGAAAATAAGTCCAATACTTGTATAGTTATATACATAAGTGAGTTTCTGTATTATTCATTGGAATGCGAAGTGAATTTTAATTCAAAGTGATTACATTAAAAAGTGTACAAGTCTGAAAGCCCAAATGTTGAACTATTTCAACGATTTCAGAAGTTTTGGCCGAAAATAAACGTTGATAAGTTTACAATCGACTTAGAAAATAAAAAAGTAAGAAAATCATTAAATATGGATGATGTGTTACGAATTACAAGTTTTCTTTATAAGATTCGTAAGGATAACCAACCAAGAGATGATTATAAGGAACTTCTGGAACTTGCATTAATGTTTTTAGGAGAAAAGCCGAACTGTACCATAAAGTTTCGACCTCCTGGAGCTATACATCATGCAAAATGGATGGCGAAAGCCATGCATATATTAAAAATATTTTTATTTAGGAAAGAGTTCAAATTATCTACAGAAGAAGAAAATACTCTTTGCGATATATGTATATTTATTACTAAAGTGTATGTTGAAGTATGGTTTAATGCTTTGTCATCAGTCAAAGCTCATTTTCAAGATTTTAATCTTCTTTCTATTCTCAGTCAATATCAAAAAATTGTATTTATTATTTAAGCTCAAAGCTTGTTCATTTTGCTTTTTGGATTTAAATATATCACCTGAGACAAAGAAAAAGATGGTTTCAAATTTGAATATAGATAGTGATGACAAGGAAGTCAGGAGAGTATCAATAGATCGCGCAAAAATAACTGAAGGTAATAAGGATACTTTGCTCCAGCAACTTTAACTAAAATAATTAAAATTATGTCGGACAAACCTAGAATTAGTACTTTTTTATTATTAGAAAGATTAAATTTTGGAAATATTGAATTTATTTTAAATTTTTTAGAAATATTGAATTTTTTGTAAAGCAGAAGCGGACATTCATAGTACTTTCAAAGCTAGCAATCGGGTGACTTCAACTTATTTTTTGTTTTATTCAATAACTATTAGAATTACAGAAAAACTTTGTATGAGTGAATTGTTTATTTTAAATAGATCTATAACTTTTGGGAAGACAGTTTTTATGTAAAATTAAATATGTCGGAGATATAAGCAATCAAAGATGAATTTTATGGAAAAAATTGTTATTTACCAATCTTTGAGGCTCTTGGGGCACCATTTCCACTTATCCAATTGAACTAAAATTTTACACAGATTATTTTTTTAGTAAAATGAACCGATCTGGGGGGTGACGCGGGCAATTTTCCGACTTTCGAAAATTAATGGCACCCTAATGGTATATATTCTTTTATACTAATTCAATTTGAAATATTAAATTGTTGCAAAGTCTTTATATAATAGGAAATATTATTTCTATTTTAAGCTAAATTAATTTTTCGAACAGTAGCGAACTACAACAACAAAAACTTATTTTATATTATTTTAATTAATTTAATTTTTGGCTGACCATACAGCTGTTTCGAGTATTGTCAAATATCCATCATCAGTGGTCTAGGAAACATTTCTTGTATTGAATTATTCATTAATAATTTTTTGACACTGCAAGTACCAGGAATCGAACTCGTAAATTTGAAGCTCAGAAATAGCGTACCTTAACCAACTGACCCAAAGTCGTACTTGACTTTTATGTTCGCAAATTTTTCTAGATTTTTGTTAATTTGCTGTGAAAGCTTTATTAACCAATTCACTTGCTGTGTTCAATTTCAATACCATTCTGTTTGTAGAGGCATTATTTGTTACATGATTTATATATTATTTCCTATGTATAGAATCTAATGTGTGAACGTAATACTGAGAAAGTCATGCGAATGTTACTTCACGAGTCGGAAACGTATTTAATAAATAGTTTATAAGATTTTATTACTCTTATATTGTATTTAAATATACTTTTCTTCCCCCAACGAAATTCTTCCATCTGTCAGAGAGTTCACCAAACCAGGGATATACCATGTGTTTCCATTAAACCATTTTTCTCAGAACGAATATATTGTGTCGGTTTTTCAAAGTAAAGGAATATCGTAACTCTTATACATCACATTTGCATATCATTTACACATTTGCCTCTTCTAGTAGGATTTTATCTCTTCTGTGACAAACAAAAGTTAGTCCTAATAATATTTAATTTATTTTATGTTTTTTATTTTTTTATTTTTATTTCATATTTATATTGAAGTCTGTTAACATATGTATTTCAACCGTCAACAATATATGGAATTTAGTAAAAATTTTGAAGCGAAGAATTTTGAAACTTGAGGACTTAGTAAGATGTGAAAGTTCAATATTTAAATTTTTTATTTTGAACAATTATTCTGTTTATAGCAATTGTAAAAAATGGCTCACTGTTCGTTAAAATCATAGAAAGTATTATATTTATAAAATTATAAATCAAGAAAAAACACTGACAGAACAATTTCAGAGAATGAAATCTAACATGGACGGATTAACTGCACACGACCGATTGATAGTTAATACTGAATTCGATAAGCAAATGATTTTATCGCAATATTATATTATCTATTAATAAATTGAATAATTTCAAAATAATTAAAAAATAAAACTCATACCTGAGCCATTACACTTACAATTCATGCACAAAGTTTATTAACCTACGAAATCGGTTCACTGCTGATTTACTTCCGCACACATAAATTAAACCGAATCTTTATGAATCAATTTTGATTACTTTCTGTCCCATGTACGGCCTCAGTCGAATCTTTCGAATATCGCCGGCAAGTATTGATGTGAGCAGCAGTGCAATTGAACGCAACTTCCTCTATGCATAACAAGCCGCGCTAAAATAATTACCAACTTTTGCACGTAAATAAAATCAAAACAATCTCAACTAAAAATAAATTCTATTAAAGTTCGTAGATACAAGTTTGTTTTGAGCTGACCTTCAGTTAGCCAATTGGGAAGCAAAATCGTTAAAAAACAAATACTGAAGTTGAAAAATTGTGCCTGGCAAAAGAAGGTCAGTGTGCTACCAACTGACATTCGCACTTACTTTGTAATTACGGAAGTAGGAGACAATTTTTCAGAAGATAATAGAAAGTCTTAAATAGAAATAGAAACACATATATCTAAATGTTCAACATAAAGCTTAATATGGAACTAGTGTTCATTGTATTTATACTCTTATAAGCTCAGCTATAGCATTTCAGATAGTTTTCTAGTATACAATTTCTCTAATTCTATTATTAGTGTTGTCTTTGTCGTCTCCTTGGTATATTGGAAAGTAATGTTAAAGAATCGTACTTTTTAACAATTCTAATAAATTTAGTTTTTTTTTGTGATATTCCTAATCCCAAGTAGTCATTTCGGTTAAAAAACATACCGCCCTTCTTGTCAATACTACTCAGAAAACTAAATAATTATTTCAACTGATAATTGAAGTACATATATGTATATATGTTAAGTACTTAGTCATCCACACAACATTTACACTTCCCTTTTAGACAAAATTTTATCATATTATGCTTTTAAATATAAAATGCATAAATAGGTTTTTGTGCAACAATTTGCCCACATAAAAGGTCAACGTGAGTTGTATCTTCTGGAAGGACGGGTTGCCACTCGCATCTACCTACCTATCAATCTATCTATCTTATCTAGCAAAATTACACTATTGTATAAAGTTATTATAATTATAATTAAATAAAACGATGACAAAGAAACCATTTTCGTCAAAAAGATGTAGGATTAATAGAACTGTCGAGTATGTGCTGTTAGTTCATCATTAACAATGATCTTGTTCAATATATAACAGATATGGATGTTATACATAATTATTTTCATACTCATTATAATCATAGTACGAAAAAGTACTATGAAGTCTAATATGATGTACGGATACCGACTATAATTATATGAGTTCGTATATATTATGAGACAGGTTTTTACTGTGGTGAAATAGTTATGGAACTGAAGCGAATGAAAAAATAAAGTCTAATATGATGTACGGATACCGACTATAATTATATGAGTTCCTATATATTATGAGACAGGTTTTCACTGTGGTGAAATAGTTATGGAACTGAAGCGAATGAAAAAATATTAAATTTATTCATATTTTTGATTCAGTCAACTTGGTTTCTGCTCATATATTCAGCGGATGCTTTAGGGAACACAATGTTATAATACTAAGAACCTTTGAATGTGTTCTCAAAAACATTCCTCTCCATAAAAGCATATTTTTCAACTTAAACTCAAATTCAGTTTTCTAACTTTTTGTGAAGTATAGAGTTCAGCAAGTGTTAGGTACTATTTCAACATTAAAGATCACTTACAAAAGACGTTAATAGTTTTGTCAATGTTCTTACAATAGTTCAATTCTGTGTGAATCTTAAAATTCCATTATGGATTACATGTATTTGTTTAAAGTTCAAATTTATATTTGGAACATTTTAATTTTCTTTATTATGCACTTAAAACTTTGCCAGAGATAAATTGGTTTAACTAAAATTTACTTTTACGAATCTAAATAGTCGGCACACAGGAACTCTAGCTTTGACCGATGAAGATGCGAAAAGAAACTGAAATGTGGGCTCAAAACAAATCTGTTTTTATAACTCAAAACTATAAATTCTATCGCAATTTTTTAATTGTTATTTTATTTTATGCGGTACCAACAAATCTATCTACCTTTATTACATCTTTATACGCCTTAAATACGGAAGTAAATTTTTTTGATGACACGTTTTTATCGTAATTTTAAAAGGCAATAATTCCGTTTTAGTCGCGTTAATCGAAGAGTGGACATATTTTGAGGGTGAACAATAGGGTCAAAATCATTGCACCGGAACGATAAATACACTCCAGCAAAATGTTTGCATTGCTTTGATTTATAAATACTTTTTTAATAAAACAAATAATGATTTATAAGATTTCACGTCTGTCTGTTGTACTCTGTTACAACAAATTCTACACAATCAACTTTTATGTAAATTATTCTGCAATTATTCTATTATTAGATATAATTAGATTAGATGTACTTCAAATGTACCACTCAGAAGTATTGTCAAATATCCATATGTATATTTAATCCTTTTATTCGTAGGTGGAAGATAGGGCAAGAAGTATAATGCAAGAAATTTCGCTTCACTCCAGCTTTTTCCAGTATTTCGTAATTCGGTTTCTGGCCAAACATTCATACTATGTGTAAAACTACTCTTTAATGCAGAACCTCAACATATTTTCTGGCAATGAAATATTTTGGTCTATTCAAGTTGATTATTGAAAGCAGAATTGAAAGAAGACGCGCCCCTGCTAGACGAAGAATTGGTCTATTCAAGTTGATAATTGACAGCAGAATTAAAAGAAGACGCGCCCCTGTTAGACGAAGAATATCATCACTTAAAAACTTAAGAGAGTAGTTTAAAAAAGTATAAAGCCGTTTTGCAAGGCTGTCGATGAAACAAAGACATTAATCAAATTAGCCAATATTCGAAATGGATAAAGCGGAAGAAGGGATAAGAAACGAAAAATTAGAAGCCATAGAAATGACAAATAGGCATTCCTATAGCTAGTTGTAACTCTTTTGGATAATGTTTGAACACGTATCAGGTTTTGAATCTGCCAAGTAGAATTTAATTATAATTTGAACAGCGTTGTGTAAATAATTAAAATTGTGTAATATGTAGTATTAACATAATAGAGTGCAGCTTTTTCTGTAATTGTTTACTATAAAAGAATTTGAATATTGTTTTGTAAACAGATTGCAAAAAAAAAAATAAAAAAAAAGAAAATATTTAAAATTAAATGAAGATTACTTTAAACTCATGCAAAATACAATAATAGATTAATGTCAAGATCAGAACATTGAATATCAATTAATTACTTGATATATTTGATGTCGTTAAGGGATTCTTCCATATTTTTATAAATTTAAGCTGGTTTGTCTATTTTACATTCCCCACCCCTCTCTGTCTCCTGAATGCTTTATTTGACGAGCTTAAAATAAAGAATAATTTGTAGATCTAACGACAATCAAATGTGCACCGATCACTGCTTGTTGCAATTTTATTGCAGAATATTTAGTAGAAAATTAATAGAAAAATAATTATGAAGCTGTTTTGTGTAAATCACATATTTTATTCAAATTGCGCAGGTTTCACATATAAGTCATTTGAATTAGTACTGCCAATTAGTACAACAGTTAAAAATTCGATAATTAAGGCTTGGCGCTACAGCTCAGTTAGGGCATTTATTATTTAATAGCGGCAACAACGTAATTTAAAGATATTTCAATAGAAAACCACATATGGAAGTAAATATTAAAACCAATTCTTGAGATCAGTAACGAAATCCTTAAGTATTACTTATGTTCATTAATTAGCAATAAATTAACTATATAAAATAACAAGTATTATGAATTTAATCAGTACAAATTTCAGGTTTAGTGAGTAGTTCTGAAATCAAAGCAGCATCTGATAAGCACAAAGTTACCATATAAAAATTAGATATAGATCAAAGATACTTAGCTGACACTCGGTTCATAGATCAAATAATTGTAAACTTTCAAATCTATTTAAATTTTTTTTAATCGTTCCATTCGTTTTCATTCGTTGGTTAATTGGTTATAGCAACTGATCGGCAAACAAACTTTCCGCCTCACATAATTAGAATATGTATGACGCTATACATAGTTTAAAAAATCCTTAGTTCTTACTGAGAAGCAGTCTAGTACACTGTCAAACAATTATTTACCTAAAAATCTATTACTTCTGTTAGACAAAACTAGACATGTCCGTAAGGAACTTACTAAAACTTAGTTGCTCTTTGAATTCTGCTAAATTTATATATGTTGTATCTCTTGGCCATAACTGGCCACCAATCTTTTACCAAACATCCGTTTGCAAGAATAGAAAGCTTCACAAGCCTTTCTGACTCACATCATCCGCATAAGCTATCACTTTTAGCCGCAATAGCGGTGAAATCGCATTATCTGAGGTGTTCTTCTAGTGCCGTGTCTACTCATGATTGTATTATCTATCTTAGACTACATATATATCGCTGCATATATTTTAAATATTCGCTAAGACTATTAAATGCCAATGCAACAGGCATTGTCTAAATTTAAAATCAATTCGTTTTTTGACTATTAAAACATTATATATGGTAGTTAAAACAAAGACTGGCATGGTAGGTGAATGTATGGTGGGCGAGGATACAGGAAGATGCTTACAATTTTTGATAATATACTCTCTTGCTTTTACATTTAAGCATTCTTTCATTCGTTTGCTCGTTTTTCACATCTTATTCACTAAGTTTATACATGTAATACAAATAAAAGATACTTGTGTATAGCATAAATAGTAATAAAAGAGGAAATATTTAGCTAACAAATCGCTGACCTATCGTGATGAAAGACTCCTAAACAATGTAAAGGCAGAGATAAGGAAAAAAAATATTCAAATAGCTAAACCGTTATGGTTTTTCCTGCAAAAAAGAAATAATATACCAATTTCAGACTATCTTAAGTTTTCTTAATCCCCTACTGTGATCAGAGGCATATTAAACAGCTCAGTAATCCTTGATTTACTAACTGCAGTGGACTAAGTGGAGGCTAAATGTATGCTTCAACTTATTAGGCTATGGCTTGAAAATAGCGAAAAGCTCTGAACGATTTATACGGGAACGCTGAAAATATCTACAACTCCTTTTAATTCAATAAGTCTAGAACTTAATTGAAGACGAATATAATTTATAAATAGATTCTGTGATTATTACATGTATTGAAAAAATACTTAACAGAGTTCATTCTAATATCTTTTATGGCTAAAAATAAAAACAAAATTGGAAAGATAGTGCAGAAGCCCGTTTAGCTTAACATTTTATTTATTAGGTTCAATTCCTCGCTTGACATTTTAAGATTAAGATTAATTATTAAAATTTGTTCCATAACTCAGCAATATTTTCACAGTCGCACCTTAATGAACGACGCCTAACCCGTCTGTGTCAGAGGTTATCTGAAGTGAACACGACGGTTAATGTAAATATTGATAATAAAATGATTATTTCCAATAAATTTGAAAACAAATTTGGCCTTAAACTGCATGTCTGAATTTGATGACAAGGGACTAAACTGTGATTGATATGACAAAGTCATATACTGAGTATTTACTAAATTAGATAAACGTGAAATTCTACAATGTTATTATATTTAATCGTTCCAATGTACAATCACATGGAGGCAATTACCTATTATTTACCTCAATGCATATAAAATAATAAATTTAATTATTATATTTTTTACTTAAATATGTATTTTATTTAAATTCTAATAATAAAAATATTTTCATATTTTAAATTTATAACTGCTACGGTACAGGTACTAAAAATATGCAATTGGAAAATTAATCTATTTACACATAAAAAAGAAATCTTGCAATTTTATACCTAATTACTTAAATATAATTTTTCTAAATTAAAATATTTAATAGAATTTGCACCTTTCGTATGAAATCGCTTCAAGATCAACTAATGCCTTAAAGTAGGACGAGTATAATAATAAATTAAATAAAGGAAAATTCGTTTTAATTCAAAATTTATAATTCACTAATCTCTTCAAGCTTCAATTGCACTCATAAGCCTGAAAAATTCTACATATGCTTTGGTTATAGCTTCTCCTATTTACATTTTACTTGAATCATCCTTAAATCTATTGTAAAAGAAAACCTTTTCTCAACATACGCGACATTTATCTATCTCCATTCAACCACAATTGTATCTGTGCTGAGCTCTTGCCTTTTGTTTCCAGCACCATCAAAGCCACATATATGGTTGCGATAAACATACATACCGCAAAGAACCAAAATGTAAAGTCAGAACCCAATGAAACGATCATTGATCCGAAACTTTTAGTAACCACGAAAACCGAAAACCAGTTTACCATTACAGTTAAACTGACTGCAGTGGCTTTGAGATCGGGTGTAAACAGCTCGCCCATCATAAGCCATGGTATAGGTCCGTAGCCGACAGCAAACGTTATCATGAACATAGCCATACATAGCAATGGTAGCCAACCAATTGAAGACACATCCTTTCCACCTTCCTTCATATTGAAATATGCACCCAAAATAGCCAAACTAATTGTCATCACTGTGCTACTAAAGATTAACAGCATTTTACGTCCAGCACGCTCAATCAGAAATGATGAAGTCAGAGTCATCACAACTTGTACAACGCCAACAATGATCGAACATATGAATGGATCCAAAGTGCTACCAGCTGATTTGAAAATAGGTACTGTGTAAAATATTACTGCATTTATTCCTGAGAATTGCTGAAAGAACATTAGTAACATGGAGATTACGAGTCCCTTAAAAGCAGCACGATTTGTAAATAAATCCATTAATGACGCTTTGCCACCAGATTGGTCAATATCATTTTGCAGTGTTTGTATTGCAGAGCGTGAATCACAGTAGCGCCCCCAGAGCCATTTAAGAGCTAAAGCAGCATCTCCGCGTCGACCCTAATGACGACAAATAAGAAATTAGTAAAAACAATACTATTATTTTAAATATTTCTTACCTTCTTCAGTAAGTATGTGGGTGTCTCTGGTAAAAAGATCATGCCTATAAATAGCGCAATCGGTACGAACAAACAGAATGTACTAAGAGTTGTCCAAGAAACATATGCTCCAATTACATAAACCAGCAGAATGCCTACTGTTAAGAGCAATTGAAATAATGTACCTAAGCTTCCGCGAATACTAATCTCCGCAATTTCGGAAATGTACATGGGGGCAACGACACAAAAACTTCCGGTTGATACACCTACGAATATGGAAAACAAATTATATTATGCAAAGTGGCATGATCAAATTAAAAATCAAATTAATTTTATATTTAAAATAAAAAATATTTCTGTATATATATGATGCAGAAATTTAAATTCTGAATAATTCTTGCAAAGATGCTATTTTGGAAAACTAACTTATTATATGCTGAAGTTATGAATCAATAAAGCTGCATTTGCCTTCTAATGGTTTCCTCATAAAAAAGTCTCTCAAAGTATTTTCAATTTATTTATTCACAAAATGTTGGTCTTTGGCCCTTGCGACTTGTGGAGTAACATGAGAATGACTATAGGTTCTATACATAAAATAGAATATATAGATCATGCAACAAATAATGCCTTTACAAACAGAATAGTATTGAAATTTAACAATTAAAAATAAAAACGTAATTTATTAATTCAATTATTCTACAGTTGGTTTATGATTTTGTGCTAATATAAACACAACAAATGAATTGGTTAATAAAGCTTTCACAGCAAATTAACAAAGCTCCAGAAAAATGTGTGAACATAAAAGTTAAGTACGGCTTTGGGTCAGTTGGTTAAGGTGCGCTGTCTATGAGCTTCAAATTTGGCAGTCTCAAAAGTTATTTACGAATAAATAAATACAAGAATTATTTCCAAGACCACTGATGATGGGTATTTGGCAACACTCGAAACAGCTGTATGGTTAGCCAAAAATTCAATTAATTAAAATAATATAAAATTAAGTTTTGTTGTTGTAGTTCATTACTATTCTAAAAAAGCTCCTTATCCTCTTTATGTAAAGGGAAAAATTTTCATTTTTTTATTATAGTATTTATTATTTAGTATTATAAAAACTAATTGAAAATCATCTGCTGTATAACCAAAACAAACTAAGATAGAGAATTTGACTTACCAATCATGAAGCGTCCAAAATATAGCAATCCCGCGGATTTGGCGAAAATAATAGCAATCCATGCTAATATAAATGGTATGTCCATCACCATTGCTGTATAACGACGTCCGATAGCATCGGCTATATAACCAGTTGGAAGTGCTCCTAGAAAAGCTCCGATTGCCAACAACGAACTGACCCAAGTCTCTGAAAATGTAAGAAAATGAAAATGAGACAGGATACTAATGAAAAGCAAATGAACACAAGTAATACGTTCCATGTAGATTGAGAAAGATCTGTGATATTGTTTGAAGGGAATACAATTAAAATAAAAATCAATAAATTCATGGCACAAAAAATATTATTATGAAATTAATTAATTAGAAATGTACCGATTACATTCTAAATAATCATAGATATGAACATACCCCTGACCATCTCATTTCTATCTCGGGGTTCAAGAATTACTGAACAAAAAACAAAAAAATATTTAAACAAAATATTTTTCTTATTTGCTTTAATCTCAAAAAAAACTATTCATTGACAATTTATTGATGTGCATTTAGTATTTCCGTTAATGAAATCTATACTAACTCGAACGCGCTACATTGGCTACCGTTAGTACAGTTTGTTATCAGAAACGTTGAGATATTTGCTCAACAGTTGACCAAGCCACTAACTTGATTTGTTTAGTATCACAATTACAGCAACTCATAGATAGATTCCCAGTGGTAAACAAACAAATCAATCGACGATGAGTGCAAACCGCAAATAATGACTACACTTTATAATGGCAGAAGCGGAGGGAGTGGCAGTTATTTACTCAATGAAATTTTATACTTTTGAAAAAGTTGGAATGAATTGGCAATCCCTGAGGTAAATAATAATAATTTCACATTTTTTAAATTGTGGTTGCACTTGAATGATTAAAATACTTTAGACTTACGTTGATCCACTGTCAATAGCAGAGATGTTGTTGTTGCATTAATATTAGTAATGTTTTCTGCAGTGGGATCAATGCTAATTTGTGGTAATACTGGTGATGTCCATGCCAACGCAGTACCTGCTGCAACAGCGCCAAGACAAACTGAAATGAGAAAAAGGACGCCATAAAATTACTTGCATTTGTTTGATAGGATTAAAAATCCTCGACCGTCATACTTACTCACTGAAGCAGCAAAATATTGCATGGTTTTTGAGTTGCGAACCACATTATCATTAAGTGGATCATACAGGACTGAATTGTGTGAATTGTGTTCATTTTCCTCTTGGTTGACGGTCTGAAGTGAACAAGAAATTGATATCTTTTAGGAATTCTGTTATAACAAATCTCATACACCCCACTATATATAACATAACATTATCATTTTACTTATAACATCTTAACGGTAATCCGTCAATATTTCACCAATGGCTTACTATAATCATTGATATTGTTATGGTTCAAGTTTATACACATTGTATAAGCTTGTTGTAGACTTCGAAATGTCAACACCCATCATTTGAATTAGTTTAGAACTTGCTGACGAGTAATTAGTAAAAAATATACATGGGGCAGATATAACATATAACAATACAATATTTACTACGGGACTAAATTTAAACATTTTTAACGTTCCACACGTGCTTAAATGCAGGCACGTCAGCAAATTACAGGCGCCATAAAAATCTTAATAAAAACATCGCTCGACTTGCCAAATTGAAATTCTTCTCGTCAACCAGTGACCAAAATTGCTGCATTACAACAGATACAGCTACAGATACAGATAAAGGTGGAGAGACAGAGATATGGTGATATATATATATGTGAGTATGTGGGAGTGTCCGCAAGTGAATTAAGTGCATATTAATTAATTATATAATACAAATTCAAATAATGGGTCGGCGGGAATATCTTTTTACACAGCGATGTGAGGAACTTAGAATTCTTCAGTTGGGTTCATTCTCATTTTGGTTAGTTGGCTTTCAACCAAAAACGCAATTTGTTGTCAAAATAAATGCAACGCAGTGCATTTTTATATTCGCACTTGAATATTCGCAAAGTTTATTTATAAAAAAGTCAAGAAATTGCAAACCAGAAGAAAGCAATGTCCATTATTTTTATTTTATAGCTGAAATAACTGAAATGCAGCTGCTGCATTGGTTTTAAGATCAAAATTCGAAAACTGTGGGTGTCATTGGTGAAACAAAAGTTCCGATATTCATTTTTATTTTATAGAAGAATGGGTTATAAGGGGAATGAACAGGAGTCATTTTTTAAACATTTTTATGAACTGAAAGTTTTAGTTTGCGTTTGAAGTTAAGCAGACTTCCGGCTCTGAATGCAAATATCCTTATTTTATAAACACAGAATTAATAAAGAGAATATCTGTTCAAACACACACATTTCGTCTATCCGATTTAAATTGAAATTTAACAATATGAAAAAAGATATATTTGTAGAGAAACAATGTATCACAAAATCAAGAAAGAGACTTTATTAATATCGATTAGACAAAATCCGGAAATAATATCTTAGAAACTGAGTAGGTACAAACTGTAAATCTAAGTCATGAATAAATATCTTAGAAACCGAGAATCTAAATGTTTCGAATATTGATCTTATATTTAAATTTTAATTGCTTTCTGAATATGGTATATAAAATATCAAGTAAGAGGATTATGAAAAAGATTGACCCTGTCTAATTTAATGTCTGTAAAGAATTTCATTAAAATTAACCAATATCTCGATTGGGGGCTCTAATCTAAGAAGATAGAAGATAGAAGAAGAATATCTCGATTCAGCCATGTACACTTTTCCAATATGTGAAACAACGTCACTCATTTCATGAATGGATGAGTTAGAATTAATCAAAAACTCGGCAAACATATGGTATGAATCATATCTGAAATGTTACATATAAGTGGACTATGAATGCAGATGACTTTGAGTATATATTCCAATATAGGAAATGTAAAACATATTATTTATCTCCAGGTTTTTATATATATTGTTCCTGTTAAAAATCGAATACTCTAAATATGTTTCTGAAGTTCTACTGCATTTAATATGACTTTTGTAATATAGTGCAAAAATTAGCTTAATTTAATTAATTAAAAAAGTTCAACATAACATATTTCAGTTAGTGCTAATTCATATAAGAATTGTTTGAATATATGAAATTAGTTTATGAATATAGATTTTTAAAGTCAACATATCTCGTTAATCAGATTCGAATATATTTTTGTTAAGGACACATTATAATTTGAGAATCTTTTTTGAATAGCAATAGCTTAAGCATAGCTCCCGGATGTTGTTCGCATTTGTTGATTGTATGGTAATTACATTATTACTTATAAATAATATACTATGTAATTTACTATTTTGATAAATTTGTACATTAGAGTTGACTAAAAATATTTTGTTATCACAATATCTTTAACTTCTGTTCTTTAAATCTATTTACTAATAAGAATGAGTATTGCTTTTTGCCAGAAATAATTAAAACTGATCTAATAGATATCACAAAAGCAAGAGGCATGTGTGCAGTTATCAAAAGGATTGAATTTAGATTAAGAATAAGATTACTCAACATTTACCGGAGCTGAAAAAGTTTAAGTTAGCATTAGATCGTCTCGAAAAAACAAATACTAAATAAATCTTATTATCTCGACTGTTTCATGAAATCATTAATAAATCTACTCTACCAAATTACGAACTATTTGAATAGTTTAGAAAACATAATTTTCTCGATGTTCAATATCTGCAGTAAATTTCACAAAACTCAACGCCTCACATCAAATAATCCTAGATTGCAATATTAAAGGTATCTCGTACTATAATATAAGTGTTTATATATATCCACCGATTGAATAATTCATAATTAACATATATCATTACAAATCACTATAAACATTTAAATAATTTCACAACATAAATGCATTTAAAATTATAATTTCGGGGTGTGTGCAAAAAAGTAGGAGTAGTAGTTGCCCATGTGCGCAAAAATATCGTTTAGATGCGCAAATGCACTAGATAAGACGTCTTTGTGAAAATTGTTCGAAATTGGAGCAAACATATATATTGGATAAAAATAATTTGCATTTCAATTATTCGAGATTATTAACTTTATATTTTATTACCTGCCACCAACGTGCCATGACGCGCACGACTTTGTCTGAATCCATTTGTGGTCTATTGGCTGTATATGTATTTATGATTATTATATATAGATCTGATCTTGTCGACTTGAAGTTCAAACTTATTACATAAACATACTATACAGCATAAATATTTTATAAATAGAAAATATTGCTTATTTATAAATTTATTATTGCTTTGGTTCTTTTTTATCACAATTGTTGCTTCCTCTCACGAGACGCAGGCGGACAAATAAACAGACAAACTTTCGGTCTGACTCTTTAAATATCGCTCTGAAGTGGCCGCCGTCAGTTCGAACCGATTTGTCGGCGATTCTTTATAGTTGTTAGAGTTATTTACTCGATTTGCTTTTAATTTATTATTATTATGAAACTGTTTTAATATTTAAAAAATACTAAATGTCTATACTATTTATTTTCTGTAATTGTTAATTTTTCTCTTCCTTTAAACTTCAGCCGACTGTTTGCCACGATCTTTTAGGAAAGACTACTTTCTGCCATTGTCCAAAAGCTATTTCTGCATTTTTTAGTTCTCAAAAATCTCATTGTCTTTTTAAATTCTAAAACTTTTCAAATTTGTTTTCGTTTACACACAAAAAAAATTTGTGTTATTATTGAAACTATTTATGTTTAATTAAATAAATAAATAAATAAGTAAAAGAAATAATAATCAAAATATATGCCAAGATGTACATATTTTTTTTATAGATTTATTTATTTTATTTTTTATACTTCTTACTTAAAGGGTTTATATCTCATGGAAGTGAAAGATAAAGGAGAATCACTACAATCCAGTCAAAAACTCAGATTATATTTGACTATTGGCTAAGCCCTCAGACAGATATATGAAGGCAAAGGCAAGCCAAACTAGAGCAGTAAAAGGAATACAAAAACACAAATGTGGTTGGATAGCGCACACTCTAAGACTATATAGCAATATTCTTCGGTAGACACTAAAGTAAGATCTTAAATGCTTCAATATATTACGGTACGATCTAGAAACAAATTTGTTTAATTATTTTAATTGTGTAATAAAAACACTCCAATAACAAGACAATTCAAGTACTTAAACATTTTATTATGATTATTATGATGAATACACACAAAGGATTTACGAAGGATTTGTCATTTCATATACATCAATCTGTTTTACTATATTGAATACAGAATTTTATTGATGTAATAAAAAAAAAATAAGTATAAAATATAAATTAGATGATTCGATGATTCTTTTATGCTAATTTTCAGTATCTGTCTTGAATTTTATATTAAGCAGCTTATATATTTACTTGAAACCAACAATCATTCACTGTTAAAAATTTGACAACATTTAGACAAATATTATAAATCTCCTCTAAATATGACGTATAAGCTTCCAGATATCTACACCATATCCTTTAGCAAGCCTATAGAAAAAAGGTATTCAGATATTTACTTATTGAATTACTATATCTAAATTATTAAGACTTACCAATGACATACTTAGGAGTAAGGATACTGCTTGATATCAACTCGAATCAATTAATAAGCTTGAAGACAGGATAATTCGTTGTGAATAATTTAAATGGATTGACATTGATATAGTACTTAAATCTTTTTGCAGTGTATTGTTTATATATAAACCAAATACCTTACATTATTCAACTTGTCTGTTATTTGAATATGTGCCAAAAAAGCAACTAAATCATCTCTCGAAGTTTTCATCTAATTTTCATCACGTGCGATACTTTTTGTTTAAGTAAATATTTTGAAAAGTTTTTACGTTGTAAAGAGGTGTGTCAATTACAATATATTCCATTCGTTTATATATATATATATGATTTGGTTATAAGAAAAAGAAAAAAATTTATTAATTATTCTCTAACTTGTGGGACAGTTCAAGCCATTTTAATATATATATATATGTCTCTGTAGATGCATTTGCCAGATTTGTGGTGCAAAGCAAGGACAGGACAGGATGATAATAAGTTTTGTGTGACTTAATATTATTAATAATAAAATTTTTTAATATTTCATAAACCAAAAACAATATGTTATAATAACATGAGTAATTATAACTTTTTATTTAACAATCATATTTTGTATAGAAAAATTTTTTAATTAATTGCGTTTACTGATCTTAGTTTAGTGAGTTTAAATTTATATGTATATATATATTAATTTATATAATTAAGATTATACAAAATTTATTTGGTTTTGTCATTTCAAAATAGATGCATAATTCGAATGAAAAAGAATTTAGATTTCATTTTTACGTTAAATTGTTTGTAAATTACAATTAATTAAATTCAGGTTCATCATACGCAATGAAGGCTTGTTTTATAAAAAGATCTTATGTCTTAATGAATTATGGCAATTATTTGCGAGATTTGTTTCAATTTATTTATAAATTTGCTTATACGAGAAGCTTCTGTAATGTTTTATTTTGTGATTTAATCGCGTGCATTTATTTCATTTATTTTCTGAGTATTCCACCACACAAGCCATCAAAAGTGTACTTAACTAATTTGAACCCATTTGACTTTACTTTCTTAGTTAAAACTGAGCCCGTCTATACGATGAAATCCCAAAAGCACCTTCTTAATAACATTTGCTAATTTCATAATCAACAAATTCACGTGAGCTAACTATTTTCACAAATGGGGTAAACATTGAGTTCAAGTCAAATATCGTATATAATTTCTATTTATGTATATTCCATATGTTATAATTTTTAAAGCAAATCATAGAGCCGAAGCTTAGAACAAAATGAAAATATCTCCTTATTGTCAACGAAAATAGTAAACATAGAATGTATATATTTGATAAATTCAATATGATAATGACTTTATTCAAGTTCTTTGTAAGTACGAGTAGAAGCATACAGATATACGCATACATAAATAAAATTCAGTTCCAGTAGAATATATATTTAATATAACCCGGATCACAACGTAAGCATTGTTTCAACTTAAAATGCGGGCAGAAAATAGGGATTATATAATAGGTATATAGCTGTCAAAACTACATAGCAGTGAAGCAGTGTACTACATAATTCTGACCACACTTACCACATATATTTTTTATAACCCAGATCACAACTAAGATTATGTTTGCATAAGAAATCTGGTGCTGGTGTGGCGATAAAAAACAAAAAGCGGAAACAAGATATTTTAAAATGGAAAAAACCGGCAATCAAACAAATTAATGTAAAATAAATGAACCATCAAAAAATTATATTCTGGAACAAGTTTAATAACAATTCGAAATTAATAGACTTCGGCCACAAACTAACAGACTAACGACTAATAATCGAGTCTTTTAAAGAGATACTTTTATAAAAAATGCAATTTTTAGACATTTAATTTTATTTTTATTATTAAAAAAAAAACCGTGCACTGCTACATAAAGGATCCATTGTGCCCCTTAGTCGGATTAGAGTGTTTCTCCAAGTCCGATTTCTTTAATGAAAGACAGTATAGAGCCCATCTTTCCTAGTATTCAATTCTTATGATCCATGAAATACCCTCCTAGGCGTTTCTTCCGCTTGTGCATGAGTGCTGTGATGCACATGGTATGCAGTTTCTCTTTCTTCTCTACAGTATCTGCAGTCTGAGTTGGATTGAATTCCGAACTTCGATAGGTAATATTCAATTTAATTGAGCAGTAATAATAATATTTTAATGTCTTCAATATTTAAATTGGCAACTTTATGAGTGCACATTGCTTGATAAGTGAAACTCTGTATTTGCGATTGCGAGGTCTCCAAATAGATATGTCAATTACTAATTTGAAATTGGTTATTCGAACGAATAAATCATACAATTCTATTATCGCTGAGTATAAAGTCAAGAATACTATTAGAAAAAAAATTTTCCATTTTAGGTGTAGGGAAGTGTATTTCCTAATACCTATTATGTTATAGAGAAAATAATCAAAAAGAAAACTTATATTATGTTATTTGTAACTTGCAGTACAATTGATCGCTTGATAAATATATTTGATTATTTATACTAAAATGTTTTATTTTTAGTTAAATTAAATTAAGTGTAAGAGAAATGTACAAATATTAGTAAGGAAAAAGTGGAATTTATACTACTTGAACATATTTACAAGGAGCCGTTTAGCTATGAAATTAGATTTGAACAAATTATCACTGACCTAAGCCAATTTACTTATCAAGCATGCGGTGCTCACATGTCACAACTCAACCTTTGTCAGTAAAATCTCTACTTTGCCAGTCTTATCAAATATATGATACGAGTACACCAACTAATATTACGCATAAATTACTACTTTTCGAGGCAAGACCATAAAATATCTACTTCATAACTTGAAGCAATATCAGCAGTAGCTGATGAGAAATTTAATAGACGATAACAAATTCCTTTATGCTTTAAATATTTCTCAATCCACATCGAATATAAAGTAATATATGTACAATTGAATCTGTAGAATGTATATATCATATATACATTATAGGTTACATATAAAATATTTGGAAATCCGAAATTGTGAAAAGAAAGTTGTTCAGTCACTATTCGCGTGCTCTCGAACATTTCTTTAACGCAGCACATAATTTTATTTCTTTTGAGTCATATGACGTTTATCAAGTTCAACAGCCGATCAGTATCTTAACTGTTGCTGTTGCTGTTGCTAATCTATAGAACAGAATTGATCGTACTTGTAGTTTATAACCCCAAAATAAATTGTACAATAGCGTTCATTTTAAATCTACATTTTTATCATTTGCATATTCAATTCTATAGACATCAATTCTTTAAAATGGGTCGAAGACACAATGGGTACATCAGAGCCAATGACATGTATATTTGTTTTGTATCTCATATGAAATAAATTGATAAATATAAATTCAAAATAATGGGGATGGACAGATAAGGAAGCTATCAGAGACTTATTAACTTGAATGGCAGTGCAAAAATTTCTATAAGCGAACATCAAAAATATATATCATACAGCTATCATATAAAACATGTATATAATACATATAATATTATTTCAGTGCAAGATATTTAACTGAAATTTTTCACCCAGTTCACTTCAAATTAATGTAATTCTCCATATAAACGTTTGGTTCAGATATAAGTTACTACATATAATATTTAATTTCTATTGTATTCACAATAGAGTTGGTATTTTATCAATTGAGATTAAAGCCTATTTTTCAATACATTCGAGTGTTATGTATATGCGCATATGTTATTTTAATATCAAAAGTAGGTATATTGAATTTTTATATTTATTTTACTTAAAAATAAATGTTATAATTCTAAAAGTCATTCTTCATATATTATATAGTAACAACCTTTTCTTCCAATCGTAAGGGCAGTTGTGACCGACTATATACTTTAATATAGTTTTTCTTTTATTGCTCCACATAAACATAATCAATTAGGAAGCTTATCAAAAGTTGTAATTAATGTGGCCTTGACAATTTGAAATCATAAATCTTAAAATTGGTAAAAATTTTTAAATTGTATTATAATCAATTTTGGTTTCGCCTTATTAGGATTGAAAAATATTAAACTAGGTATAACTGATTTTCACTACTGAATATCACCAAAATGCTATCGTTTTAATTGTTTAATAGAGGCCCAGTTCAAGTAGCAATTGAGGAATCGAAAGTCCTATTCCGAATTCTGTTAAGTAAATTTATAGATATACTATTATAAATTTATCTACTACTCTCTATATAAATTTATTCAAGATCTCTTCATGAATTAATCTACTTATCTTCTATATAAAATACTATTTATCTATTAGTGGTATTACTTGTAATTTCAGATATTTGTGATCCACAAAAACTAAACTGATTCATATTCATGATTCATTTTTGTTTACATAAGTCAGTCAGACGCGTCTACGATGAAGTTGTCAAGACCAGTCAAAGATCTTGAAAAAAGGTCTTTATAAAGGTCTAAAGAAAATTTATAGAATTTTATTATATGCACTTTGCAAATGTATTTAAATCATATTTATTTAGACAAACATTTACAACATAGGTTTAAGAAATAAACCAAAGTCGTTGACATTGAATATATAATTTTAATCACGATCTGCAATTATAGTGGCAAACCATTTCTGCCCCAGTTGTCTGAATTCTTTATAGTTTTATTGCCATCCCTACCACTGAAAAATTTTTCAATATTATTTCTGTATTTGTGAATATTTGCGAATAAAAAAATAATTGTTTTAAAAAAAATTATTACTCAGGTGTTTTCACAATAGATGCATTTGTTTCAAAGGAGTTCGACTATATAAAAAATACTATATTATGGAATATTTAATTTACACAAACCGGAAACAATTATAGAGAACATTTATCCCTGCGATAAAGTCATGGCGAAGGGCACAACCTTCAGTTCTTCTTAACATTCTTATTATGATTACTTTTTTATTCATTAAATTTTAATGTAGTCAATAAATTACCTTCTCACTTCCTCCATTTGTTGTCATTTTTTCCATAATTTAATATTTTTATTTAAAACACAAAAAATCCTTTGTTTTTTGTTGTTGAACTTCCTAGATTCTCTGTTAATTATTTATAAATAATTATAAATGCACTCTTTATTGATGTATTTCACGAAAAAAAGAATCGTTATTTTAAACGATTTCGATAAAAGAATTTAGCCTGAGATGCGAACTAAGTTTTTGAAAATTGCGTAGCCAGCGAGCGTTGAAATGTAACTGAAATTCTTAAGGAAGCCGCTTAACAACGAAACCGAGCAGAGTCGTCCGTCCAGTAATTCAGAGAAAAAACAATTTTTGCTTCGGCTTTAAAGATTTTTGAACTGTAAACGTGAAACCAACATACCCGGTAGTGCGATATGAGACTACCTGTCAAGTACGAAAGCAGCAGAGTAGCTATGAGCATATTGGGTAAATTGGTAATAACAGTAAAATTTCATCTATTTTTATATTTTGTTGATTTATCTCAACAACACAATCGAATATTGCATAAATATTAAATAAATTGATAACTTCATACACTAAATTACCAATTGTCACGTTTTCGGGGGCGTATGAGTGATAAAGTAATCACAATCGCTTGATAAGTGGTTTTCTTTAAAAACCAAATTGATTAGTGTGAATTATTTCTGATCTCCCATAGCAGAAATATATAGTACAAATATAATATGAATAAAGAAAAATTATAAAATAATATACCATTGCTCAAAAAATATAACTATTTAGAAAAAATAGAAATAAAAGGTATAGAATTGCTAAATATAAAGAACTATTAACAGTTATTGCGACAGTATTGGCAAAAATGTGATTGATATCACAGCAAAAAGTGCTAAGTAAATTATAAAGGAAAACAAGGAAAACATATGTGAAGTATGCCGTTAGCATCTTTCTTCCATCTTGGTTTAAACAAATTTAGATTTAAAAAAGTTATCTATTTACCTAAATTTTTACCCTTGCAACCTAAAATATAAGTATATAATACTAAGAAATGAGATGATTTCAAACTACTGGAAAATAAGATGGTTTATAAATACAATAATATACATACAAATCTTCATATTAATATTAATCAGATTAAGGATTAGGCACAATATCGCAGCAAACGTTTTAATTTTCAAAAATCAGCATTAACAGATGTTAATTGAAACTACATGAAACACAAACGTTAATTCATCTCCAATTTTTTTTCTTTCACCAGGACATCGTCTCTAACTAGTCGTTGTTTTTTAAAAATATACAATTATTATGAAATATTGTATCATTGTATCATATTCACCTACAGACTGTAGAGCTGCACTTTGAATTTGGTCTTACTCTTGTTAGATTAGCAGGAGTTGGCGAGCACTTAAACACTATTTTGAAATTCCTGATATGTTTTTACATATGATTTAATCTTTTTTAATTCAAAAGGAATCACAAAATAAAACCATTATATTGGATGCTTAAGACCTAGAGGCAGGAATGTAGAGGCAGAGTAGACTAGTGGCTGTTTCTCACTGTCGCTAAAAATGCAATAAAATTTATAAAACCAAAAAAGAAAAAAACCTAAATGCGGTTCTAAACTTTAATATAGCACATAAAATCCTTCAATATATAATTTTGATAAAGAGTTGGTTAAAGCACAAAATCATTTATAATTTTCACTTACCGGAGCAGAAATATAATAAATTAATTTTCTAACATATAAATACTTAAATAATAATAAGTATTTAGTAATTAAATAACCCAATCACTATAATATGTTCAGCTTCAGTCTTAATTGTTTCAAATCATAATCAGTGCTGCTCCTTAGAATTTTCCTTTAGAAATTTGTCTTTTATTACCATGCGCTCTCAACTCTCTAATAATTTAAAAAACTTTACGCAAAACAACATAAATTAAATAAATTGAACATACTTCAACAGCTTATGGCTGGCAGCTATTGAACTTTTGATCGCAGCGATATCCACCATAAAAGCCATCGCATCAACTATACCTTGCATCTCTAGAAGTTTCGCATAGTCACCGTCTTCAGTCAACGACTGAATCCAACAGGAGTATCGGTGGGACATGATATTGCTTTACAGATTTAAAACGACTAACAACTATAACAAAAGCCAAAATTCTTAATTAAAAATTTATTTATAAAATTAAAAGCATCGATAAATTGATCACAATTTTACATAAAGAATTATTTTTACAATACATTATTATTTTTACAATTACGGTATATATATTTATAAAATAGAAATAAATAATTAAATAAATAAAGAAATAGATTGCTTATATAACTAGTTGAACATAAAATTGGTTAGTGAACAATTTCAAAATATTTAATTATTATCAGCTTGGTTTGACTGAAATAGTCAAACCAAGCTGATGTTGACTGAAGTTTAATTCCAACAAAAAAAAAAGAAAAAACAGAAATATTTAAAAAGAGGAAACCTGCGTGCTCTTTAACACCAGTAAAAAGAGCTTATACTATTTATAAATATTCACAAAAATATTCGACGCAAGTGTCTTTTTAAAATTTTTGCATTGCAAAGGGGACATTTTTTGAAAGTATCGACTGCTCTATTTATACAAGCTTTGCAAAAAACATGTCCACACTCTGTACTCGTAGGAACTGTCATCGGTGCGATGCATATGGGACACATTGGTTGACTATGTTTAATCGCACTTTTTTCAGCAAGAGTTATATCTGATGTAGACTCTGGAGACTTACGATTTGGTGAGCACAGATCAATGACATTTGGGCCAAATACAATGTCATCATCTTCCTCACTGGATACAGATGCATCTGAAACACTAAATACTTCATCGAGTTGAACTGTAACAAAATAAGAAAAACTTTATTAATATTATTTAATCAAATTAAATTTTTACCGAAAGGTAAAGATCTTTGTGAATTACGGTCGATATTTAACGGGACATTGTGTCTGAAACGACCAGTTGACCTATCAGTTGCTAGTGGTTGAACATTTACTTGGTGAACCTCATCTAAGAATCGATTCACTTTTAAATTACGTATGTTAGATATTACGCTCGATACTAGAAACTAAAATAAAAAACAGTCAATACTTACTCTGCCGAGTTTCTGCTAGAAGTGCTGGAGTACTTGGTGAAAATGAGCGTGGATATTCAGCCCGGTCTGGGGTCCTAATATCTGCTGACAAATCAGCTTTATTCTTTTAGCATCAAAGAAAAAACAAATCATGAAAACATTTTTAATAATAATATTAGTTGTAAGACTTACCGAAGACATTTTGATAACTGCTATTTTATAACAAACTCACATACAAAATACATTTAACGGGATTATGTTACAATTTCTGCGTCTAACCGCGCATAAGCCTTCTTTAAACAAACAAAAAACAAAGAAATGTCATTTCAGTCAAATTCGATGCAATCGATAATTCACTAAACAATCAAATGTGGACGTCGATAGAAATGAAACAGAATAAAATCCTACGTAACGTAAGAACGAGATTTGCAAATGTATATTAAGAGATAACCTAAATACATTTTAAAATTATTTTAATATTTTACAATATGAAAAAGAATAATAGAAACAGCATATTTTATCAAACTACCAACAAATCAAGAATATCAATAAATAAGAGATCTTCGAAATCTAAAATTAATTGCATGCAACGCTGTTACCTGTTCCTGCTCGTGTTTTAATATTAACAGCTGTTATTCGTTATTGTGTTGTCGTTTTTGTCCATCTGTTTATGATTTAGGAAAACTTGTTTACCGAGACAAATTGCAAATTGCTCCGTTTTTACAACTATATAATAAAATGTGGATGGCTATAAAATTATTTCGCATGTTTTCTACATAACGATTAAATAAAAACAATTAACTATCACGCTTACAATTCAGCAATAAATTATATTATATATTATATAATTATATATATTAAAGGTACATAGATGTGGAATTCATGTGTATAAATTTTTAAAATAGTTTTTAAAATAAGTTTTACGTGCAAAAATTAAAAATGCAATAAATTGGGATATTTCAATGTTTATTTTGAATAGATTTTGACATTTCTCTTTAAAATCGTAAAATAATCTACGACATTATGACATTTCTTCTAAGATCGTAAAAAAATCTAAAACATTAAGACATTTGCAGAGTTGCACAGAGAAATAATCAACATTTTGAAGGTGATTTAAAATTAATCTCGACCATAAGGGGATCAACTTTTGTATGGAAAATGTGAGATTAATATCAAGGTTTATACTTTAATCTTGATTTTTGCTTTAATCTAATTTTAATGTTCAAATAAATTAAGTAAACTTAAAGTGATAAAATGATTAAAGCAACGGGTGTTTACACGAGTTTTATTTATATTCGTTTTTGTAGAAATAACCACACTACCGCAGTGTTATATTAATAAACTAAAGTTATTGTGAAATACAATTTTGTCAGATTTGAAAGAATCTTTAATTTGAAGTTTTTAAAAAGAATAATAAAAAGAGTAAAAGTGCACATTAGCACTAACTCAAATAATAATAATAACAACAACAACAACAAATATTTATAGATAAAAGAAAATTATGAATATATATTTCAATTTCAATTTTTTTTGAAACTTTATTGCTTTGTTGAATGCATAGCAAACAAAAAATCACTCTTATTACAACTTTACCGGTAAAGTACAAAAAAGGTGCATTTAAACGTTTATCATTTTATTACTTTTCGACTGTGGATATTCGTTCACGATGGAAGTTTTAATATATGCTTATAAATCTAGTGAACGAGTTCTGTTTACTGAGATATTAAGTAGGAAATACGATAATATGCCTTTGATCTCTAATTTCATACAATTACTTATGATTTCTATTTTTAAACAATATTTTTCCTGCCACAAGCCGTAAAACTTAAGCGTATTGTAACTCAGCCTTTTATTTTTATCGATAATTCGATATAAATAGGTCGGTGCATTAGCAAAGTAGGAGGCAGTGCTCAGTGTTGATTTGTTTGCTGAAGTGTGTAAGTGCGTTAATAGTTTGTTTGACGTAAAGTGAAAAGTGTATTTTAATGCAGATTTTTAAAAGTTTATTTAGAAAATAATTTCTTTTCACAGAATTAAAAAGTGTAAGTCGCTTTGTGTTTTGTTTTGTTAATTTTTCTTGCTTTATGATATTGGGGCTGTTGCTTTTGCTGGTGCTGCCTTTGCTCAAGTGCATCACCATGACAGCAGCAGCAGAGCACCTTGAATAATTTGTTGTTATTTTTAATGTTTTGTTAAATGTGCAATATTGAGTGAATATCATTTAATATGCACAGCAACTATGAAAATGGCGGCAGCTAAATATATAAAATAAATTGCTTGTATTAATAAGGCTATATAAGATTATTGATTAAAATGGTACCCACAAATTACACACAAGTTTTTAAGAAATTTTTTTAATCTGCATAATTTTTATACTCCTTGAGACTTATAGAGCTATTTACATTTTTATTGCAGAAATTAAAGGAAGAGACTTCCCATCATTTTAAAATACGGTAAATTCATTAAACTATTCTAAAGCTCTTATTATTAACTATGTCTGATTTTAGGTTAGAAAAGACTACATTGACGTGTGGAGCACCATTTTTTATCAAGGTAATAAATATAAGTTTATGCAAATGTTTAAACAATCTTCTTGAGTGAAGACGTAGAGGACATCATTAAATTTATTTTATTGAAATTTGCACACATTTAGGACGTACTTATCTGAGTACCTAGCCATATAAATCATCTGTATCCTCAATGACGTGCGTTTGAAACTTAATCACTATAAAAATAAGGACCATTAAATATTCCGCTAAGAGTTGCAAACATAAATAGTATGTTCAAGTTCTTTTTTATGGTAGTAGTAGTAGGTAGTGTAAATCGCCTTTACCACTCGCGTAAGATTGCGTATACCTGTCTATATGCATATAGTTTTATGTATTATTTTCTACATATTATACAAATCTCTTTTATACACTTTTTCATACTGTTTATGTATATAGTTCAAATACATAGTTTTATAGTTATATATACAAATTTATAATTTCTATATATTACTATTATCATTTGACATTCTTTCACACTATATATATGTATATAAGTTTAGTTAGATTTTTTATATTTTTTATTAAATGCTTTTTACCGTTCTTTCACTTTATTTCATGCTAAACATTTTAGGCGAAATAAGCCTGTGTTATAATTTTTAAAAAGTTGTGTCATTCTCACAAAAGTGATTAGCTTCATTTCGACCTTAGATTAAAAACTTTAGGTCATAGATCTGGTAACCTATAATATATTATATGAAGTGCCTAATTTCTTACTAATTAAAAATAATTCATTAGTGTAAAAACTGTATATCACAGATATTCGCTTTTATACTTAATGACAAGTCTCATAAATATTTTTACCTGTGTCAACAGTAATATTTGTCTTTTACACCAGTCCATCTCCATATGAGCTATGGTTATGTCCTCTTAATGCATTGGAAACATATAAAGTTATTGCTCTATCTTATATGTTGGTCAAAGCTTGTTTACAAGAAAGTAATATCTTATACTCGTATATACAAAAATATATATTCTGTTATAATGTTTGAAAAGGATTCAATCAAGTTTATGTTAAAGCGATAATCTACGAATTAAATTTAACCAGAATCCATACATGAAGATGTACTAACAATAGAAAACATCTTTGGATTTGTAGCGATATATCCTTTATATCCTTTAAAGTGGTCATTTAAAGTTTTATTAAATCACATTTAAAAAGTTAGTAAACGCCAAACTGAAGGAAATTTAATTATAAAGTTTTCAAATGATTAAATTATATTTAAAAACTGTTGCTATGATATAAAATTCAATACAGCAATGTTATTCTGTGGATGCAATTACATCTTACAACATGGACGCATCTTTTTAATTAATTTAAAATCCGTATATAATGTGTTTGGACTGCAAGTGCCAGGCACAGATCTCGTGCCTGTTAAATTAGAAGCGATGACTAATTATGTTTTTCCACAAGTAGCCAAGGCTGTACAAACTTTCAATGCTCAAGTTCCAGGTTTTGTGTCACTTTTTGATTTTATTTTATTAGTGACACTCACCAAAGCACTTGTCGTGCTTTAAATTAGAACGAGCTTATAAACTACAGCTTTATTTGGAAACACAAGTTCAACGAATTGAAAGTTAATTTTTGAAGTTGACTAGTTTTATTTCAAAGCTATTCTTTTTGGAAAGACAAATATCTCAACGAAAATAAAAACGAATGAATGCGTTTTCAAAGCAAATATCATTTTTAGGCTTAAAAACCACATATTGGGTATGAGCTACGAGTATGAGAAGATCTATTCGTGCATCATAATCATGGAAAAGCGATATATTCTCTAAAAAACTGAACGCTAAATAGCTTTCATCAAGGTTGTTAAGCACATTAAACAACAAATTATTAAAGATGTTTAGCTAGCCAATGTCTTAGTAATTGTTAATGTGTGTTTGCGGGTGCAATTGTTGCTTAACTGTTGCTGTTGCTTCCTCAGCTGTTTTCGGGCCCGATGACGACAGTAGCACTAAACGAGCCTCTGAAGACCTTGGAGGTTATGCGGAATTATATTAAATATTGATATTTTTTATTTAAATGCTTAGATTGCTGCAATTCTATGCTATGTATTAGCAATAAAATAATTGATTATAAGTAAAAAGCAGAGACCATCAATGCGGTCATTTGTTGTATTAACTGAAAACGTATTACCCATTTTGTTTGAAGATTTTTTGGCATTGTGAATATGTAAAGAACTGGCAAAGGTCGATCACCTGGTTTCGAAATCATTTTATTAATTATTTACAAACGCGGGGAATTCGTTGCCCTGCCAAATTGAGTTGAATGGATAAATGCCTCCGTAGCAATGTGCGTGGTGTGCTGAGCTGAGCGGTTGTGTCACACCACAAACTTACATGTTCGTAAATATTACTGGAGTACTCGTACGTCTTCTGTTATTGTTTATAATTTTTTTTTAATAATTCAGTTTTGTGTTTTATTCGCTCAATGTTTTTTTTTATATTTTAATTTCTATTTAACGAAAAAAAATAAAAAACCAGAAATAAACTGGAAATCTAAGTTGAAGGTCGCTTACTTGAACTTGCTTGTATGATAAAAGTAATATTAAAAAGTATTCGAAATTGTTTATAATGGCAATCAAAATTTAATGTTGCATGTCTAAAGTCGAATTTTGTCTCTGATCAAGAAAATAGATAATACTAATGCTAATAGCGAGAAGAAACTCAGATTATAATATAAAATTTTGTGAGAACATCCGTATACCTATTTTCCCTGCACTTTTATTTATTGGATATTAAAAAGTTATACAATTCTGTTATCTAGTCTTGTTATGCTGAGTATGTGTTATTTTTAAAAAGTATTAAAGTTATCAAATTTATCCAATAAAATTTGATTGTAAGTCTTCAGTAACTTTTATCATTATTGCAATCATTAACCATTAACCACATACATATTGCATGTAAGGTGCAATATGTGTTATCTATAGAGAATATAAATAATACTACTTATAGAATTATAAATACAAACAATAAATAATTGCTTCTTCTTTATAGCGTAGTTAATCGTAAATAACGAACGACCGCAGGGACATAGAATCGGTCAATACTGGAATCTGTCTGTATTGAGTGAAGTGTAGCATAAATGCACTATGTAATGTTTTATTTAATTACTTTTTTATTCGTGGATCTCGTGTCAAAATAAAACTTTATCGACTTTCTTAATCATCTATAATATTAACCTTTGTATTGATTTTCAACATTTTTTGACAAAGAAAATGCTTTTATTTAATGCAATTGTACTCCTCCGATTGTACTGCTGTATTATGAAAAAAAAAATTATTTAAAATAATAGCAGATCATCCACCAACTCCGATTGTTCTGGAAGAGCATATTTAATTTTCTTATGTTAAGGTTACGTCACAAAGTCGAGTAACAACACATTTTAAATTAAATAAAAATAAAATAAAAATCACGATGTAAAAATGTTTTTAATTATTAATAAAAACATTCAAGAGCTGCGGTTAGTATATTGACCTAATTTACATACACGCATAACATATAAAGACTGAGGAACTCGACTTGAAGAAAGCAAAGCTGATGTAACTTTTGATACAAATTTCTTCCTTTAAACTTGTTTTTTTTTATTTAAGACTTAAGATAATTTAGGTTTAATATTTTTTTACTCATTCAGTTCCACTTCCCACTTCTCTCTCTTTAACATTATCGATACAAAACTCTATACCTTATAAGAATTCATTCCTTTAGGAAGCATTTATTTTATTTTTATTCTAAGTTACAACAGACTGAAAGTAAATATATTAAATGCCTGATTATATATTTTATTTTAATGTAATTTCGAGAAAAACATTTGAAACCAATAAAATGAAGTCAAACTGAACTAAAGGGAATCTGTACTTTCAACGCCTTAAACTGTGAAAATGCTATTTCTATTGAAGTGGTATGTTCCGCCTGATTGTAATACTCAATAGATGTGTTTCGGGCACCATTTCACTAAGATCTAAAAAACCTGCATCTTGGGCAAAAATGTATGGACAAACAGAACAGATATTAATGTAAATTTTCAGTTTAAAATAAAATGTTTATTTTAATTTTTCAGTTGATAAAAGTTCATACAAAAACAATTGTTCATCAAAATTTTTAAAAAAGTTTTCCGCTAACTTTAATATTTACTTGCATGTGATTAACATCTACCTCACAATACATTTTCAATGTTACCAGTAACTATATGATCGTTATCCAATCCCTAATAATCTCAGTTTGTGTGCACTTTTTGCCTTCGTTTGTTGCCTTGTTTTGTTAATATTATTAACTTTATTTACCCGTTTTGTGTTCATTTCAGTTCTAATTTTTGTTGTTCCTTTGTTTGTTTCCTTTTAGGCCACTGACCTATCCGAAAAACCAAAAAACGAGACAATGCATTAAAGAAGTTAGTCATATCGTAGACTGACGCAACAAAAAACAATAAAATTGCAAATAAATTTATTTCTATTATTTTTTCCCGCCCAAAAGAGGGACATTCCTAACAGAAACGTCATTATTTTGGTAAGAGCAAATTTAGTGTTTTTGTTTTCGAAGTTATTTTGTTGTACTTCTCTTCCCCGCGATCCTTCTTAAATAGATGAGTTGGTGCATGTGCTTTTCGTGAATACGTGGTACATTTGGGTGCTTAAAGGAAAACTACATTTTTCCGACCCATAAAAACGTAATGTAGTTCTGAATTCAATGGTGTCCGTTGTGCTCTTTCACAATAAATTGACACACCAGAATGTACTCTGAGTATATATCTACCTACGGTATATGCTACATATTGAAAGTGTTCTCATCTTCAAACTCGCCTTGTCAATCTTAATGATAATTTATTTGATAATTTTTTCTTCGCCACTGTTTATTTTACAGATTTTGCATTCTATTCCTTTTTTATATTTTGTGAATTGTTATATTCTCCTCTATCATTTTTTATTCCTGCCACTTGATTAATTTAGTTCTCTTTAATAATAAATTAATATAATTCTTCTCCAATTTTTTTTTGATTGGATGCAAAATTTATTTTGTTTCAATGATTTTCTTCTCTAACCCTGATATTTCATTGCGTGCTTTTCAAAGGTATTACGTATAGAGTCCATTATGAGGTCCGAATGTTGTGTAAAAGCCTGTCAAACTTAAAATTTATGCGATTCCAAAAGCTTTCAGTATCTGTATTATAACCAATATTCAGGTTAGTATAGGAGACTTATTCCGGCTTGTTTTTTTTCCAAAAGACAGCAAAATTGAGAACATCTGCAGTGCAATTTTACGTTACTTTACTTTGTTCTACAGCAATGTTTTCTGCTTATAATTTTTCACTCATCCAATTCAATTAAGAATAAAAACCTCATTTGGTATAGGATCGTTTTCTTCTGCACGCACAAGTGATCGTATTTGAATAAGAGTATCCTTTGTTTACCACTCTTTGTTCTATGCTTTAGATGCATTAATGCGTGTTATGCTTTGCCTTATACGCCTGTGTGTCTTCCGCATACAAACATCCTTTGTTGCTTTATACAGTTTCCTTGCCTTGAAGCAGAGTGCTCCTCTATGCGATTGGCCTACGTGTATAAATATTCTGTTAAGGGTCATCATTATCTCATGCGTAGAACATGAAATCGCATTTTCGCTGCCATACACTTTGTTTTCTTTTGCAGGTTACCTGAACTGAGGTAATAATAGAACGTGTAAACACTTCAATTGAATCTGCTCGGCTGCTAGGCTGCACTGATCGATCTCTCATCTCTCATCCAACATCAGAACCGATGTTGTACAAACAAAGAATATCAACATAATCAACGATGTCGTCTCATTGCGATATACAAGTGATATGCGTTTTTATTGTTGATTTGTTGTTATTGTGGGTGTTGTTGTTCTTTAATGAAATGCAATGTGGTGGAGAAAGAAAAGAGAAATCTTACGCCTTATAAATTTTATATTCGCAATCAAATAAATCACACATATGTATATCTACAATAATATAAAGTTGGTTCATAAAAAGTACTGGCTTATGTATTTGTTTAAGTTAAGAGTTAAATTGTAGTGTGAACCCTGTAAATGATGTATTAAGTATATCTAAATTGTTTATAAACACACAAATTGTTTATACACATTATAGAGCGTAGTTAAATATAAAAATTAACACAAACTAATTTTGTTGTATTGATAAGAGAAAAAAAGGAGAGATAGATACTAACTCGAATTGCGAATAATGTTCCTTCTGATGCTTTTCTTCTGATTGCATGGTACCCTACGTACTACCTTTACAGTGCTTAACAATTCGAATCAAACAATGGTGTTTTACCTACTACCTTATTGTCTCTGTGTGCTTTGTTAAATGGTTAATTCAGCTTTAATTGAATCGAAAAGAGTCTGATAATTTGAAACAATAAATATTTTTGGCATAAGTCGAATAGAGCATAATCTTAATCAAATCTTTTCTTATTTTCAGATTATAATAAAAGAGTAATTACAAATATTAATTTTTGTGGTAAGTATATAACTTATAAAAATTGTATTAAATTATAAAAACAAAACAAAACAAACAATATTTATTCTACTATTAAAAATGCTATTAAAAACTGGAAAATATGTTGCGTTACACATATGTTGCTAAAAATATGTTGATAGCATTTCAAAAACATAGTATAACAAGAACATAGAATAACAAGTACAGAATCCATAAAATATTTGGTGTTTCCTCTTCACACTTGCAAAATTTCGATTGGTATACGAGTATGTTTTAATCTAAAGAGATTATAACGAAGCGCATAGCGAATTCCAATCAAATAAGAACGTGCCATAAACTGATTTGAAGTGTGGTACCACTGCCAACTTTCCTAATTTGTCCAATTATCACAAGTTTGAAGCCATCGACTTATATGTCACAGAACAGAACAGTTTGTTGTCCTATGCACTTTCGTGTCATTGTCTGTTCTCTTACTCTTAATGTTGTTCGGTCTAAACCGAAGTCTATACTCTTAATTCCTACTCTTGTAGGTAGGAATTTAAATATAAACATTAGGAAACGACGTAACTTTTCAAATGTTTGAATGGAAATACGTCATTGAAATTGTTCACATACATCATTCTCCCCTTTAAAATGTTCGTTAGTTGGTCGCAGCGTAAATATTCGTAAATATATGACTCTGTCTGCCTGTCTATGCACATAAATAATTTGGTACACACCCGAATGTTGTTTTGTTTTTCTCTGATTTTCGTATACTAACTAACTTCTCCAGAGGCATTTCCTCTCTTTTTCTCCTTATTTCGTGTCATGCATGTTGGCACACGCAGGCATACAATCATACACTGTCATTGGTGTTACTTAAACTGCTCTGTTCCGCTCTCATCTTTATTTGTTTTAAAATACGAAAATTGTAGTTGGAATCAGTTTTCTGCATTATTCATTCGATTGTTTTTATTTTGATTAACGTTTAAAATTGTTTTTGTTTTGTCTATTTCTTATCTTTTGTGTGCAGAGAAATTTGCCCTGAAAATCAAAAATTGACTAGTTTTTATATTTTATATACATATTTCAATTTTAATTACTTTTGTTCTTTTCATTTGATGTGGTTTCTGTTCAACTTTTTGTTTTTAAAATTCGAAATTCTTCGAATTATAATCACAAACAAGTTTGTTCATATGTATTTGTATGTATTTGTATTTGTATTGCCGTTTATTTTCTTTAAAGTTTGTTTGTCTGATTTTTCGTCTGTTTGCTTTCTGTCTGTTTATATTTATTGACGCATATAAGTGAGTAAGTATGTACCAACCAATACCGTTGTGCTGTCTATGAGTATTTATTTATAAACGTAGAAAGAAGCGTAAATATGCTTGTAGCGTACTTAATCTGTTGTTTGTTGCTTGTTATATATGTATGCATATGTGGCTGGCTATGTATGTATGTGGATGGCTTTGGCTTCCATATTACAGAACGATTAACGACTGCTGGTAATTTATTCACCACAAAGAAATTTTTGTTGCATTGTATAGAATAAATGATTATCACATCACACTCTTACCATAAAAACTCTTTCCCCAGGTATTGATGTGGTGTGTATTTAAGTCTTCAAAAGAGTTTTGTTTTTTTTTCTCGTGTGATTGTTGCGGAACGTAAGCGTTCATATCATCCATTCGCTTATGGTTGATGAGCTCACGAAGGCGAAGCCACATTTTTCGCTTTTTGGTGTTAGTTTCAGTAAATTTTAATTACACTACGTCTTTCTTACTTGTTTCGTGTACTTCCGTATTGGTTTCGTTTGATTATTGTTTATTCTAGAACGCAATCTGATTATTCTTACTTTTAGTTTTCTTTGCGATATTAGCAGAAATGACAAGTGCAGGTGTATGCGTTTCTCTTCGGTGCTTCTCTCATAAAATCCGTGATATTAAAATTTTTAATGAATGTTTGCTATATTTTTTTAATGCGATGCCTGCGATTGACAGAGACCAGGAAATTAATTGCTTGCTATTCGATTTGTCTCAAAACGTAGTTCGTTAACTCATTGAAAATCATATTATTGTATGTTTTGTGTGAATGTCATCGAGACTGAATGTGGGTATACATAGATAGAAAAAAACTATTCTTACTTAAATTTATTGAGCTGAACCACAAATTTTTTCACTTTTGCTTAACATACTAAATAAAAAACCTAGATAAATCCCAAAAAGGCCCACATAAATTACTAGATTCATACTGAAACCAGTATGAATCGCATTGACTCTTCCGCCTTTAGGTTTCCAAAGCTACTTCTTCACTTTTACAGCGTTTCATTGCTCTTTGTTCTTTCACAATTGGAGCAGACTTTGCGTCAGTTCTTTAGTGATTGCCTTAAAATTGTGTTTTTATTTATACAAAAAAGTGAAAAAAACTAAAACTTCTCCAAGTACATTATACAAATTTGCGACTCGCTTGTAAAATTCCTGAAAGCACTTCGACTTTACTTCGTAGTAGAAACATGATTATATCACACATATGAATTTAAATTGAATTTTGTATTTCTTCATTTTATTCTGCACACATTTATCGTGTGTGGTGTATTTGTGCATATGTGTTGAATTGCCACAAAGCAAAGTACTCTTCAATTCAACTTGAATTTAATACTCAACACCACCATTTCAATACAACCAATTTATTCCCCATACGATTTTCCTGCATTACTCAACGTCCAATTAACCTGAAATACAGAAAACAAAGGCACAAAACCTGCATTTTTCCCCTTCCTACACACACTTATGCGTTTTTTTTCAACTAAGTTCAAAATGTTATTTCACAACATTTTCTCTTGTTTCTTTTATATTTTAACATTATTTAAGATGAATTTTTTTTCTGCTATAAAACAGTAATAAAATATTTTATTGAAATTTTTTGTTAATATATATGCGCAGTGTGGTATTATTTGATTGATGACGGCGACAATGCTATGATTGGTGTTTGTTTGTGCTGCAATATGGTAAAAGTTGTCATTGTCCTAGAAGATATTTCTACAAATAAAAAATTATGGTTACATATATTTAAACAAAAACTTTATAATAGTCCCGAAATAGTATAATTATAGTTGATCTTTTGGTGGTGTATTCTCTTTCTGAATTTTTAATTGGCAGACTGCTTGAGTGTTGGTGTTGGGGTTTCTTTGAAAAACTTATCATTTAGTGTGGGGAGTTCATTATACTGCCTCTGTTGAATGATAATAATAATGCTTTGTATGTGTGTATGTATTATTAATTTTCTGTACCTTGTACTGTTGAACGCAGACAATAACAATGTTTACCAATTTTAATTAATTATTTATAAAGTAAATGAATCATTTTGAAGTTAACAGCTTTGCCTTCTATACGTCGTAATAATATCTACGTTTTCTTAAATGAAAAACAACGCATTGTTATTTTATTCACCACACTTGTGTGTACATAGCGAACAAAAACATAAACGTAAGCGAAAAAGTTGTTTGCCTTTACAATTATTTCAGATGCCTTCCATACAATTTCTTTGCTTATTGTATGTGAGCAGTACAGTCGGTTTGTTAGAATTTATTATTTTGGATTGTTCAATAAATTAATGATGCAAATAATCCTTTAAATTTAGATCTAATTAAGAATTTTATATTCTATGACAAAAGTCTATTTCGAATACAAATATGTAGGGAAAAACAATAATAAATAGTAAAAAATATCTTAATTAGTCAGGGGCTATTTAACAGTCTTAATACTAGTTTTACGATTAACTTATGTCAAACTTAAGTCATCAACTTTTCTGACTTAATTCATACCTTAATGACTTTTGAGTCATAATAACTAATTATTGTCATTAATAGTGATAACGATCTTTGTTCAAATTTCACTAAACATCTTTTCACACAGCACAAGTAATTGTTATTCTGTTCTTTCCGCACGCTCAACTCACTCGTTGTAGTAACAATCCGATTCCATGCCAAAATTGACCAAAAAAGTTATGATTAAAGTATAATTACTTTACCAAATTAAGTTTATTAAGTAATATTGTAAATAAATTTTTATTAATTAAAGTAAAGCAAAATAAAATTACTAATATAAATTTTTTTTTTGTTTACAAGCACAAAAAAGCCGAATGAACAAACTTTCTAAATTACAATTATGGTTGCTGTGTGAATCGGCTATAACTAATATAAGGTACAATTTTGACAAAAAGAAAATTATGGGTTGAATTTATGCTTCTATTGTATAGTCTTTAGATGTTAGTGCACACTTTAACTTTTTGACTAAATGTTTATATATCAAAATGAAAAAAAAATAATAATGTTATTATGTTAAATTATTAACGAAAAAATTGCGGTTTATAATGATTTTTTATTTCATATCTTTTTTATTTTGTTTTTAATTACAACGCATCTCATAGTAACACATATTTATATGAGTTCTGTATTAAAAATGATAAATGATGATAGGGTAAATAGTAATTTAATAAACATATTGTATGCTATTTTACAAGAGCGTGTTTTAGTTGTAGATAAGATACAGATAGATTAGACAGACATATATTATTTCTACTATACTACTGATTATAAATTAATATTATCAAATGATTCCATATAATCAATTTCGAAAGTAACTTCAAAACTAAAATTCTGTTGACAATGGACATAGTACACAAAACCTAAATGGATCTACTTAACGTCGCAAAAATGAAATTGTGCGTAATAAAATTAAATATATATATTATTCAAAATGTACATAATAGTTAAAGAACAAAGAGAGCCACTTAAAAATGTATTTCGTATTTCAAAAGTGCTGTTGCGGATAATGACATTACAAAATAAGTAAAAACTCAACTCTCAATAATTTCCCCTTTTATTGTTTAAACACACCACTCTACTCACATTTATGCATTTATGGTGTGTAATGGTATTGTGCTGTGCGTAGAAAAATTTAAAGGCGCTGGTAGCAACTTTTATAACGAAATTTTCACATTTAGTCGAATACGAGTGCTTGGAGACTTCACATTTTGAAGGA